CAATGAAAACCAAAGAGAACCTATGAAAACACAGCAGAATGCAGTGAACACGTACAAAAAATATGTGTTTTCAAGGTTGCTTGTTGGTTTCTTTATTTTTGTTGTTTTCATATGTTTTCGTTGGTTTTCATTGTTTGTTTTACGTTGCTTTCGCAGTCCTTTCCTGTTTTTTCTTGTTTCTCGTTGTGGTTTCCTTGTGTTTCCTTGGTGTCTTACTTTTCCGCTGCGGGGAATCCTTTTGTAAGGCTGCGGATCATTGCTCGGGAGCCAGCAGCGGAAAACCAGGAAAACAATGAAAAACAAGGACATCAAAGAAAACACAACGAACAACAAGGAAAACCAGAAAAGGACAAAACAGCACAGCCAACAAACATTGAAGACCAAGGAAAACATATAAAAACACAGCAAACATTAAATAAACCAACAGGAAACATATGAAAACACTGCTTCGTATACGTTTTCATTGCTTTCTGTTGTGTTTCATATGTTTTCTTTGATGTTCATTGTGTTTTGCCATGTTTGCGCAATCCTTTTCTAATGTTCCTTGGTGTTCGCTGTGGTTGCTTTGTTTTCCTTGTTTTGTATTGGTTTCCTGTTTTTTTCCGCTGCTGGCTCCCGAAAAAATATTAGCTGTCTTACAAAGGAATTCCTTGTGTGGCGGCCTACGAATCTGAAAGACAATGCTGTGAACCAGTTCGAAGAAACATACATTCGAAGAGAACTTCGAATCAAGAAGGGTATCAGGTAGATCTTAGTGGGGGGGCTACCATTTATTTGTGTGTCCCAGGGCCCCTTCAAAGTCGTGCAATACATTTCTGTTCGCTGAGGCTTCTCGCGCGAAGCTTGCGTTGGCAGTCCCTCGGCCGCGGGGTGGCCCGACGCGCGTGCAAGACGAAGGCCAGACGGTCCCAAGAGGGCTTCAGAACTCAGGGGAGGCAAAGACACCCAGACCGGACAATGGGCGCTTACTAAACGGCCCTGGGGCGTTTACTGAACAGCCCTGCTCTGTTTGATTCCTTCTCTGGGTGCGTTTACGAAACGGCTTCGCGTGTCGGGGTGGTTATCATCGGGGTGGATTTTCTGCTTTCTAAGAACGGCCTCCGCACCGATGAACCTCCCAAGGCGACCCCAAGAAGGGCTCCAGGACATCCCCAAACCGCTTCGAGAAGGGCCAGGACGGCCTCGGAGAGCTTCCCAAGGCAGCCCCCAGGGAGCCCGCGGAGGGCGCCAGGACGGGCCGACAGAGCCCCAAGTACGGCCCCCCGATCTGGCAGCAGCACATCCCGCAGCAGTAGCCACCGAGCAACTGGCAGCAAACATTTTGCAGCAGCTGGCGGCTGCGGCGGCAGCAAGCAGCAGCATCAGGCAGCACTGGCAAGCAGCACTGGCAAGCGGCAGGCAGCGGTGGCGGCGAGCAGCAGCAGCAGCAGCAAGCGGCAGCAGCAGCACGCGCTCACGTCTCCAGCAGGAGACACCAGCAAGCAGTGCCAGACAAACAGCAACACATAGCACCAACCAGTAGTACTAGACAGTGTCACGTCGTAACTGGCAGCAGCAAATGTCAGCTAACAACATGCACTAATAGCAAACAACAAGTGGCAGCAATCAGGATGAAGCAGCAGTCAGCGACAGTGAACGGATGAACAAGCAAATGAAGCCAGCAAGCAAGAAGCCAGGCAACCAGGCCACCATATCTTACCGGCAGGCAAGCGGACAACGCATGTAGTCTGGCTAGTAAGCTAGCAACCACGCGAGCAGGACGTCGGACGGCACGCAAGCAGGTAACCAGGCAATCGCACCTAGCAAACATCAGCAGTTTGCAGCAGAACGCAGCAGCGGCGTGCAATAGCAGGCAGTAGCAGCCAGCACCTGCACCAAACAGCAGCAGCAAGCCGCGGCAAGCGGCAGCGCGCACCAGTAAGCATTAGCAGCAGCTAGCAGCAGCCAGTAGAAAGCAGCGTCAAACGGCAACAATTGACAGTAAGCGGCTTCGAGCGGACGAGCAATGGATAAAGCAACCAAGCAGGCAAGTAAGATACCAGGAAAGTGTCCCAGCATGGAAGCAGGAACGTCAGGGAGGAAGTCGTCAGGCCAGCAAGCTAGCAGCCATACGCGCAGGACAGTACACTCGCAGGCAAGCAGGCAGGCGACCCTGGCCCTCGCGTGTGAGTAAGCTTGTGCGGGCGTGGGAAGGGGCCGCCTGCCTCCCTCTCCGCCGCGCTGGTCCATCACGTGTGCTCCGGCAGTTCAGTTGGGTGGCTAATGTTGCGAGCAGTTCTGCACGCCATTCCAGACGCTTGTTGCAGTTCATCCTCTGAGGGGTGATTCCTTCCATCCTTTGCGGCATCGCTGTGGGCCCGTGGGCCCACCATAGGCGGCGCTTGTTGCACCAGGCTTCCATTAGCCTAACGCGCGTTCGTTTTGCAGAGGACAGACAGCCCCGTTTCATTCTTTTCAAAAGATTTCGTGGGCGTACGGCCACGGGTCAGCCTCAGTGATCTACAATGTTGGGAGAAGCGCGTGTGAGAAGGGCGAGCAGTGGCACCAGGCGCTGTCAATGCTCGGCGAGATACTCATGGGAGGTCAGCCCTTGTCAGCTACAGCGCTGGGATCAACGCGTGTGAAAATGGCGGACAGTGGCAGATGCAATTAGACATTTCCTTTCAGACCCTTCGGGATTTCAGCCAGCCTGTGCGAGCAAAGCGGGCAGAAGAGCCAAGTGCTGTCAGCGTTCACGGAGGTGTGTGACTTACAGTGGAATGAGTCCCGCCGAAGCGCGCTCGATACAGGCCAATTCCTTCAGATACAGCGCTCGGAGCAGCCCATGCAAGATGGACGAGCAATGGCAGCGAGCTTTGACGCTGCTGAGCCTGGAGGATCCTACGTCTACGAGCGCGCGGTGCCATCCATCTACGTGGCGATGGGCACCATGCGCCAGCGGTGGCTGCATCTACGAGCTGTATTACTTGAAGATGGTTGGGAGGAGTCTGCCTACGAGCCCTGCCTTTTCTAAGGGACGCCAGCAGCAAGGTGATCGGTGTCCTGCGCGCCCGCGGCGACGACCTGTCCATGATGGGCGAGGGCGACGAACTCGACTAGACCATGGGCATCATCAATAGCAGGCCCCGCCTAACTTTCAGGCACGGCAGGTTTAGGCACTCTGGCGGGGAGGCCGAGCAGAAGACACGTTACAAACATGCTTCTATCCTTGGCTAACGTTTTTGGCGATTGCAGGCAGATCACACAACAAATCCATTGATCCTCCCTTTCCCGCTAGATCCTCCTCCCTTTTCCGTTCCTTCCCTTTCTGTCTCGCTTCCTTCCCGCACCATGATTTTTCCCCTCACTGTCCATGCCCACCCCCGCCCTCACTCCTCCTAGGTGCTCTGTCTGAGGTATGACTTCATTGTCGAGCGCCGCGAGTGGGGCATACCATGACACAAGTAAAGGGCACTTTTCTTCCACGAGCAGGGCGCATCTGCCGCAGACGCACCACGAGTTCGGTCCCAGAAACGAGGGCGGGCCCGCATGCTTCCCGCGCCCCCAGCTCATCTTTGAAGCGGCGCTGGGCTCGGCATCGCTCGAACGTGTGCGTTTTTTTCCTCGGCGAGGATACTCGAGGAACATCTGGGATCATATTGCGCAAAATACATGCACGGGGAATGGACGTCCGAGCGACGGCGAGTGGCCGGTTTGACGATAGCAAGTTTGGCCTAAACGTTGTGGTCCGCCGATAGAGCACATGAAGTCAGAATTTGGGTGTTCATGTGTTCCATGGGAACAGCGGCGGATGAGAAGGACGAGGAAGAGGGGGAGGGGGAGGAAGAGGAGGGGGATGAAGGGGAGGACGCGAACGATGGGAGGAGGAAGGGGAGAAAGGAGAGGACGACTGGGTGGAGGAAAGGGAGGAAGCGGAGGCGGAGGGGGAGGAGGAAGGGGCGAGCTCCAGGGCCTCCGCCGGCCAGTCTGCGCACAGGTCGAGCCCGCTCGGTGCACTCGTCGCTCACAGTGCTACTCCTCATTTGTGTTTTGTCTGCCACGCCCTCCCTTCGGATGCATCTCTTGGGAGGTCCAAGTTCTGACTTTGCCCTGGTCCGAAATCTGACTGCATACCGCTTAATCCTGTTTAAGCGGGCTTAATCCCGCTTACCGCTTAATTCCGCGGCCTAATCAGGCGTGACAGACCGCCAATGGGGCTTAATTCTTTTTAAGTATTCCGACGAAGACTTCAGAGTAGTTGCCTCCTAACCTCCCCGCCCCAGTCAGATTCCACCGCCTAGGGCCACTGTCAGTTTACAAGAACCTCGCCCCAGGGAGGGAATTTTGTTTTCCAGACCCACGACCAGGACCCTCGCTCGCACGACGGGAATGGGGTAACTATACCATGCAACTTTTTCGGGCGCAGCTACCCCATCGCCCATCACATCAGGGGTACTTGGATGACCGCGGTGGTGGCTAATGAGGGGATCGGGGGTTCCGAGTGTATGCAAAGGTGGGTTAGACTTGGCCCAACTCAGCTCATAGGTCGGTGACGAATGCCCCACGTGGCTCAAAGGGTTAGGTGACTCCAATAAGTGGGCTCCGCCCACCTAGCCCAGATCTGTGTCTCGAAGCTTGTGGCACTTAGATCCCACTCGTGAGCTAGGTTCGGCCAGATATAATCCACCTCCACAGCAACATATACCCCCTATGCCCGTAGCAACTACCGCGGTCATCCAATAGACTCGATATCTAGGTTTCGGGCGGAATGAGTTCCCCCCCGTTGCCATGTTCGGGCCCCTAGGCTTATCAAACATGCGTTCCGACAAGTCCACTTTCGCCCAGAGAATGGGTCAATCAAGACTTCGGGGTTGATAGAAGCAATCAGTCGGCATTGAGGTATGGTCGCAGGGGTTGATGCGTTGACACTTCTCACGCTGCTGTTGCGTCATCGAGATCATGAACACTGCTGTTCTTGTACTTGGCGGCGTCGGCGGTTCTCCCGAACGCGCGACCCCCAGGCAAAAGAGTTGGACAAGCAGGGCCTGGCGCTTCTGGAGGAGACGGGGCAACAGCAGTATAGGGAATGACGGTGGAATTGAGGTGCGATGTTCTTGTCAGGTTCTCTCAGGTGGGAGTCGTTGAGCTATCGGGGTATGGGCCAAAGCGAGATATAGTGCAGCAATACCCAGGTTGTCAGCGCGTAGTGGTGTTGGCCAAGATAGGATCAATTGAAGCAACGCCCAACAGAGGTCCCTGGCTGTCCCCGCAAGTCTACAGAGGCCATCAAGAGGCCTTCTGAGGCCGTCCGAAGGCAAGCCTCCAGACGCCCTCCAGCCGGCAGGTGGGGGGCCTTTTGTTTCAAACTGGGTTGATTTGGGTTTCCGCTGAGCCTACTTTGCCGTCGTTGTCTCCGTCATTCCTTTGCGGAGAGATCACCCCTTCTTCTCAGAGGCGCCCCTCTTCTTCGCATTGTCTTAAGTGCATGTCCGACACACTTGTAGGTGGGAAAAGCAGCACAGTAGCTGGATGTCCTTTTATAGAAGCCTTGAACGGCGACGTTGAAATCAGCTTGTTTCTGCTTTTGGACCGCTTTTGGACCTCATTTGGCTCTTCCTCATGCTCCTCCTCGCCCTTCCTGTTGCCCCTCCCCTCGTTCTTCTCATCTCCCCCTGTGAATGTGCGAATCCAGTCAAAACCCGGTACGGATCCGTTCCCGAGTGCGTTCCCAAATTTGGTCCAGAGTCCAAACCAGATCCATATCGGACAGCGCCGGTGCCCAGGTACCGGACGGGGCTAGGACGAGGAGAAATCCGTTCCAGAGCGTCCTGGAACGCTCTCATAGCGTTCTGGAATTCTCTGATGAGCCGCGGCGCCCGAGACATCCTCCAGATCCGCCCGGTCTCAGAGATTTTCAAGGCATCTTCGTCCAAATTCATCCTCGCCTTGCTTTGTCTTACCAAGCAGTACCATGGCGCCAACATCGCAGAGCGGATTTCGTTGGGAAAACACTGGGATCGGCCCGGATTGTCCCGAATAATTTCGCTCCGGATTTCGAAATTAATTGCGTGCGGATGCTTTTTTTGGTCAAGAATGACGACTACAAGAAATCAACGTGAAATTCACTTCGTCTTTCGCTCGCCGTTTCGGGGTTTTGCATGTGCAAAAATCCACGCAGCACGTACGCAAGGTCGGCGCAGTGAGCAGAACAGTCAATCCGCATAGCAAGGATGGGCAACTTTTCCAAGGTTACCCTTGCATCCTCGCCTCCTCGGTCCATCCCTGGCCGGTTTCGTTGGCCGCGCCCCGCTCGAACAGCTTCAAAATGGGCGTCCAATCGAAGAAGAGCAAACGCCATAAATATAAATTGTGGGCGCTCCGCGCGGATATCTTGGATCCGCGCTGGGCCCCCCCGGCGGCGCCTCAAGCGTCGCCCCTGGCGCGCTCCGCGCGCCAGGGAGAGGGGTCCGGCGCAGACCCTAGAAGTCCTCGCGGAGCGCCCAAAGTCTATGTTTATGGCGTTCTCTCTTCTTCTGCCCCAGGCCCTTGCACATCCTCACCGTCAAGTCGGGCCTGTCCCTCCACAGGAGGAATGTGCAAACATAGTCAAAAAATAGTCTGGGGACAACATGTTGCGCATTTCCTGACCATTCGGGAGTGTGCTTTGAGTCTTGTTTTCTCTCTCTCGTCGAAAACCCCCCTGTAGGGGGACACGCCCGACTCAACCTCGCCGCGCATCCTTCTGCCACGGGCCGACTGCACGGCCTCCGGGGGCCGTGCCTCCAGGGGCCGCGCCTCCCGAGGGGGGCCCCTCCGCCTCCGCAGCGCCGCGGCGCCGCGGCGCTCCCGCTCCCCTCGGGCTCGAGCGGCGGTGCGGCGGGGCGCCGCCTTGGACGCCCGTGCCCGGGCGGGGGCCTCCAGCGCCGGCGGGGCGGGGGCCTCGCACCGGGCAGGCCCCCGCGGTCAGGGGCGAGCAGTTCAACGACACCGCAACGGGTACTTACTAACGGGTACTTTGCAATTTTGCAGAAAGTTGCCACTTTAGGGCCTCTTTCTGGCAATGCAGCGTTGCCCGCATCGGGAAGGGTTGGGTTCGCTGGGTCACTGGCCAAAGTACCCGTTAGTGGAGTCCCCGTTTGAGGGGCGCTGAGCAGTGGCAGTGGCGCCTCCTCGGAGCCCCGAATCATCAGGGGTGACTCGGGTCAGGGCTAGCTCGGGTTCGTTTTGCGGGAATCCGAACCCGAGTTACCCTGGGCCCGAGCTACCCCGGATAATTCGGGCGTCCAGAGCCCCAAATCATCAGGGGTGACTCGGGTCAAGGCTAACTCGGGTTCGTTTTTTCGGGAATCCGAACCCGAGTTGCCCCGGGCCCGAGTTACCCCGGATAATTCGGGCGCCCAACCTCCCTGGGGCTCTCCACGGCTTCCATGGCGGCCCCAGGAGACCCCGAAGACAGTCCAAGAGGGCCCCGAGTCGCCGCGCGATCGCTCGAAGACGCCAAAGGTGGCCTCAAGATGGCGCAAGAGGCTTCCAAGGCGCCCCAAGAGGCCTCCAAGAGGTCTTCCAAGATGGCCCCCAAATGGGAAAAACAGTGATTTGCCTCACGTTGTCGAAGGATGTTGGCTTTCTCGCCTATAGGCCCCACCAGAGAGTGTTCTAAGAACCTGTTGTGGTCTGCGCGAGGTGTGGTTCAAGCATGTCTGGCTGGGACTCTCGTTGTAGCACATCGGGCTTATGTTCTGAGAACATTGCTTGCGTCATTGGAGCACTCTTGGGTTCTAAGAACTTTTCGTGGTAGCCCTATCGAAATGCTGGGGCGGTCGGTCCCTGCTCAAGAAGAGATGCCCAGACCGCTGCCCTTCCCTCGTGTTCCCCCTCTTGGAGCCTGCTGGGAGGCCCTCGCCGCCACCGCTGGATTCGCCCCGAAATCCGGGTCAGGACGCACCCAGGGCGAGGTCCAGGGAATAGCGGTATCAGTATTTTTTGGCTTCCCAAGTCGAGGGCACGTAGGTCGAGGAAACGAAAACATAGATTAAGGCAGTGTGGATTAGCGATGGGTGCCCTTTCCGTGCGAAATCGCCGTGCTCCGTCGCTAAATAAGGCGGCATTGGCCTCACGTTCCGGAGGTGCCTTCCACCATCGGTGCATCTGGCGCCCACGCGCCAGATCCACGGATCCCTAATCCATATTAGCGTTGGCCCGATTGGAGGGGGGGATACCCCAAGATGGGGGGGTCATTGGACGATCGAGAACCAATCGCATAGAGAACCAAACGACAGCATACACATCACAACTAGGAGCTCAGCGCGGATTCTCGGATCGGCGCTGGACCCCCCTGGCGGGCGCCTCCGGCGCCGCCCTTGGCGCGCTCTGCGCGCCAGGAATGGGGGGTCCAGCGCCGATCCAAGGAAGGTGCGCGGGGCTCCGAGTTGTGGTGTGTATGCCATCTGTTAATTTCCGCACCGTGGGCGATTTCCCCTCCCCCAGTCCCCGAGCTCCGCCCAAAGAGTCTGGCCGCTCGCAAAGAGGGGCGAAAGTCGGGGGATACACCTGAAAAGGGGCTATTCGGGCGCACCCCTGTCGGGGATGGACGCCCTCCCAGCGTATACGTATCCCAGAGTTGGGCCCAAAATTGTTGAAGGCCCCAAAGTCGTGGATCAGGGTCGCCACTCCCCGCGTCAGACGGCCGCGGTGGCTGATGAGGGCCACAGGCGATCTGTGTGCACCGTACCGCACTGGCGTCTCCCGAAGAGACGTGGATTTGTATTCGCTGCGGGTTTTACGCACAGAAGGGTGCGAGAAACCTGCAGCATCCATGCCCAGGCCGCCCTACAGAACACGGGAGGCGGGCCCTGAGCAGGCTTCAGAAAGGTGAAGTGCCAGCTGCCAGGTCCAAGGTTAAGTCCGACGTGTCCCTCTACAGGAGGAATTTTCAAAAATAGTAAAAAATAATCAGGGGACGATGGTTTATGATTTGTTGACCCGTTTTGCAGATTGTTTGAGTTTTTGTTCATCCAAAATCCGCCTGTCGGGGGACATGCCCGACCTAAGTCTAAGGAGACCGGCAGAATTACAGAACAGCTCAGGTAAACAGTTGAAGAGCCAAAGGCTGGAAGCATAAACATCCCAACAACTATGCACCGTAAGTGCCGCGTGTTGGAGCGGGGCTGGAACAGAATCCACACATGGTACGGTGCATGGGTGCCGATCTCGTATGAGGGTGAAGATGAAGGTGAAGGTGTGCCATACGCCCGACGGCGCGTCGGCGCGGCGCGCACAGGCATTCAAGAATCAGTGGGGCAGCGGGCTATCAGCGGATGTGAAGGTGGGTTAGATCTGCCCCAACCTAGCTTATGAGTTGATGACAAATGCCCCAAGTGGCTGAAAAGGATAAGGTCACTCCAGTAAGCGGGCCCCGGCCACTTACCCCAGATGTTTGCCCCCTGTAGGCCGATTGGGGCATTTGCAATCCATTCATAGCTAGGCTAGGCCAGATATAACTTACCTTGGCATCCACTTGAAACCCCCGTATCCCCGTAGCACCCCCCCGCGGTCATCCAAGTAGAGGGGGGGATTCCAAGGTGGGGTTAGGAAGCGAACCAGGCCCGTCTAGCGATGTTCGTCAAACCCCATCTCTTGGACTGCCCCGCCTTCACGTCCCCCCGACCCTCAGACCCAGGCGTCGCAGCAATCGAGGAACAACACATTGCATAAGCATAAGCTTCGAGAGGTCTGCGCGGAGTTCTTGGATCCTCGCCGGGCCCACCTGCCAGCGCCTCTGGAGCTGCCCCCTGGCGCGCTCCGCGCGCCAGGCAGGGGGGCCAAGCCCCGAGCCAAGAAATCCGCGCGGATTTCCCCACGCTTCTTCTTGAGCGTGTCTTCCCCTGGTGGTTCAATCAATCGTGGCGTATCTTTTAGTTGGACGGCGTCGGCCCCGATTGCTTCGCATTGATTTGATTTCCTTGGCGTTCATTTGCATTGCGTTGAATCGCGTTGTGTTGCTTTGCATTGCGTTGCATTGTCGTTCATTGCCCTGCTATGCCTGAATGACGTTGCATTGCTTTGCGCTGTGTTGCATTGCTTTGCGTTGCCTCACATTGCAGTACATAGGATTCCATTACGTACGTCTCGTTTTGCTTTATTTGGATGTGCGTTGCGTTGCGTGGCATGTTTGCACTGCTTATCATTGTCGCCCATTGGTTTTCATTGTTGTGTATTGTTGCGCATTGTTTTGCACTGGTTTGAGGTGTGTTGCATTGATTTGCATTGGTTTGTACTGCTTGCACCACATAGACTGCACGCCGTGGGATGCACCACCTATATTGCACCACATTGATTGCATCACCTAGATCGCGCCGCATAGTTTGCAAGATGTCAATGCGTGGGGTCCAAGCTCGATAACATTTCATCAGAGTGACGGGGGCCAAACGGTCCTTTGCTGTCCCTGGGTGCGTGGCTGAACTTGGGTTCTGCGGTGCGGATTGTCGTTGCGTTGGTGTGTGTTGTTAATTGTTGTTGCATGCCGCCCATTTCTAAAGAATAATAGTTGTTGATCCGCGCCTTGGTGCCCACTGCTCTGTTCAATTCAAGTGTTCTTCCTGGGGCTCGCAACTTGGTTTATACAAGTGAAAGTCTTGCGGCTAAGATGGGGCCCTTGCCCCCGACTTACAACAACAACGGCTCCCGCCAGATAGTTCTTCACTATGTATTTGAAAATTGCGCTCTCGCGCGGGACTTCTTTGCACTGTATGCAGGAATTAAGTTCTCGCGTGGGACGTCGCAATTTATTCAAACGCCGCGCCCTCGACACTCAGGAATCACGCTCTCGCTGTTGTCTTCGTCACGATTTCCTTGGGAATCGCGCTATCGCTGGGGACTTCCTCGCGACCTATGCAGGACGCATGCTTCAGAAACCCGCCTCGATCTGGCCACTTGGGCCCGCCTTTCCAACCCGCCCGTTAGGGTCTGCCCGCCCGTTCTCCCTGTCTGGTTCTCCCGCGTGCGCTCTGGTCCTACCCCCCCTCCTGCTACTCTCTGCTGCTCCAGCCTCTTCCCTCCCCCTAGTCCCTTCCTTTCATCCGTCGTCTCTTCCGCTGCCTCAGGGGCTGAACGAAATACATGTTGCAAGTATGAAAGGTATACCCCCAAGGGGGTACGACCGAAGACGAAGAGGGCGGGCATCTAGGGCTTGGGATATAGGGCCAGGGATACACGCGTTGACTGGCACGCGAGGGGATATGAGCGAATCGTCATAAAATGATTATTGTCGTCGTTGTCGTCGTCATCGTCATCCCTCTCGGGACCTGGCCCGCGACCCACCCGCAACGCGCCCTCGACCCACCCGCGACCCTCCCGCGACCCCCGCGACCCAGGCGCGACCCACCGCACGGCTCACCCCACGACTCACCCAGGACCCGCCCACGACCCACCCGCGGCCCACCCCGCGGCCCACCCCACGACTCACCCGCGACTCGCCCACGACCCTCCCGCGACCAACCCCGCGACCGCCCTTTTCGCTCTTATCCGCAACTGCGGGGCGTTACATATCTTTACGCGTCACGGTCTTTGCTTGGGCCTAGTTACTCCCCCTTTCTGGCAACGGTAACACTAGCACGCATGGTGCTCGCGCACGAACTGTGGCGATCGCAGCGCACCCCCGCCCGGACGTGCCCCACCCCGCCCAAGCGTGACCATTAGTCGGGCCCCTCTTGCCTGAGCAACGACCCTTGCCATAAACAGTGGAACAAAAACAATCTCCTCAGACCCAGTCGCATCGTCCCCATTGTCACGACGGGAGGTTCCTGCGTTTTTTCGGCCTCTGGAGGCCCCCACCTCGAAGGACCAAGTTGTATCAGCCCACACTTGCGGAGGGCCGCGCGGATTTCTTGGGTCGGAGATGGGGCGATGGCCCCTCCCAGGCGCAACGTTAGGGGGGCAGAAGTAGGCTCCATGACGACAGGCTCGAGGTTCGAGGTTTTCATGTGTTTTCTTTGGTTCTCGGAGGTTTTCCAGCCTCGGGATGCCTTCCAGCGGCTGCGCCGCGCCGAGAGCGTTCCGGGGGCGCCTGGACCGTCCCGAACGGTCGCCGGGGACCCTTGTTATGACCTGGAACGAACGACAGGGGGAAGATAGGCTCGGGGGGGACGCATCAACCCCCAATCGCCCATTCATTGCCGATGGGGGCCCGATCAAGCCCAGGGAAGTGCGGATTCGCCATCGGGGGCCTAACGACAATTTATCGGCGATGCATCGCCAGTTCCAGCTCGCTGTTTCCTCCCTGGCGATGCACCGCCAGTTCCAGCTCGATGTTTCCTCCCTGGGCCAGTCCACCCCTAACGATGTCCCTCATGACTAATGGCGGCGCCTCTGGCGCCGCCTCAGGCACTCCGCGCGGACCTCCGAGAGTTCGCGTTCGTGGAAACGCGTGCTCTTATGCTCAGCATCGCCTAGCCTTTGCCTATCCCCATGGGGCTCTGGCAGCTCAGGTCCGCCAGGTCACCCGCCCAGGAGGGCGGCATGTAGATCCCGCGAAGCCCGGAGGGAGCAGCAGCCATCCCCACCTAAAGGGGGGGGTAGGTCGGCCAGTGGGGCCAGGGCCGTGCCAGGGAGGGTCGGGGATCGGTTACACGATGCGCTTGCATGCACGAGGCCTCGGGACCACCATTCCTCCTCCTTCTCCTCCTCCTCCTCCTCCTCCTCCTCCTCCTCCTCATCCATTCCTTTGTCCTCCTCCATTCCTCTGTCCTCATCCTCCTTTGTCCTCCTTCTCCTCCTCCATTCCTTTGTCCTCCTCCATTCCTCTGTCCTTCTCCTCCTCCTTTGTCCTCCTCCTCCTCCTCCTCCTCCTCCTCCTCCTCCTCCATTCCATTGTCCTCTCCTCCTCCTCTGGCCCTGGGGAGGGGATGTAGAACTCTGGCGGTCCACCCTGTAAAAATATTGCGGCGTCGGAAGTCTGGGCACACGCCTGCGCGGCTGAGTGGGCCGTTTACATTCAAGCAGCAGCGCAAAGTTGCCGCATTTCACCAACGCAATGTTTGCAGCCTTGCCTGTTGGGCACTTCCTTGGCCAATTTTGCTTCGCCCGCTCTCAAAAGTACGTCCCTCGGCCCACGGGCATTACACCCTCAATGTGCAATGTGTTCAATGGTGGTATACTGCATGCCTCTCTCTCTCTTTCTCTCGTTCTCGCTCTCTGTGTCTCTCGCTCCCTCTCCCTTCCTCTCTCCCTCCTCTCTCGCTTTCGCTGTTTCTCTTTTGTTTCTCTCTCTCTCTCTGTCTCGCTCTCGTCCTGTTCCTTCCTCTCTCTTTCTCTCTTTCTCGTTAATTATGTATGTTTATCTTTTTTTGTGTATCTCTCTCTCTCTCTCGCGTCTCGTCTCTCTCTCTCTCTCTCTCTCTCCCTCTCCATGTATATGTATGCATGTACAACATGCATGCCAGAAACGAGTCAGCTTGTCAGTCGGGCCCCTCCCCGGAAGAGCGTGTGAACGTGGGCCCCTGGAACCAGGGGGCGGACTCGATGGAGGCGTCAGATCTATCGCGAAGGAGGTAGCGCCTGTTGCGGGCCCCCAGCAGCAGCGCCTGGAGCGATGAATGCTGCATCGCTATTTGGCAGCGCCAACCAGCTGTATGTCAAGGAGGAATACGAGGAGGCTCTGAAGCACTACACCTGTGCGGTAACACTACAGGACTGCGCAGAGTACCGCGTGTGCCGCGCAGCCGCGTACCTCAGACTGGGGAAGTTCGAGGAGACGCTCGATGACGCCAAGGAGGCCTCCTTCTCAGTCCGCCTTGCTTCCGCTCCCTCAGTGAGCGCGTACAGAGCGTGCGTGCAATTCAGGGTCATTCAGCAAATATTGTCGGGTGATATTGGACAGGGTTATGCGGAGATGGGCAAATATCCACCAGCGGTGCCTCCGAACAGTGGGAGTATTGAACATGATCGCAGGGATGAAACCTCACACCCTAGTTCGCTTCGTTGCACTTGCTCCGCTCGTCTCTACCATATTCACCGCAGCGCACGTGGTGCGCACGGGCACAGGACGCGCGAGGGTGATTGAGGGGTAACGCAAGCGAGTGACTTAAGGGCACGCCCGAAGCCCTCGCAGCCAAGTTTCGCCAGCGCGGGCCATTCCCGAGCCAGGCTAGAAACGTTTCCATTGTGTGGCCCCTCCAAGGGCCTGTGGTCGGACGCGTTCCGTTCCACAAGCGATGCCCTTTGCAGTGGAGACCCATGCCAAGAAACACCCTGCGTGTCTCCAGGGTGCCCTGGGTGTCTTGGGTTTCCATGGTTCTGCTATGGAGAGCGTGACGTGCCCACACCCGAAATCAATAGACGTCCTGGGGTCTCAGGGTTGGGTTCCTTGTGAAAGGTTTCTTGTGGACTGGCCTCCACTGCATCACCCGAGTGTCATTTGGGCGACACGCGCTGAGCACCTCCCCACCCGACGCCAGCTTACCTAGCACAATTGCAGCAGAAAAACAGCATTTAAGCGAAACACTGACGAGTGCCCCTCGCCACGGGCTTTTTGCCGACCCTCCCCACTCCCCAGTCCACCACAACCCGTCGGGCAGGGAGAAGGACCAGGGAGGGCCAAGGATGCGAAAACATGGACTAGTGGTCGTTTTCTCATTCCTTGTTTTGCCCATCAGCGCGGGCCCTCGCACCCCCTCCCCCCCAGCCCTTCATGGAGTAGATCTTGGCCATGTTTGGCGCCTGCTTCAAACAGGCGGAGTCTCCCCCACAGGGCGCACTGTTGCAGACAGTCGCATCAAGCAGGGGTCCGAAGCCAGGCCCCCACCCTCCCCCCCCCCCTTTCGCTCAATTTCGAAACGCCGAGTAAGAAACCGTTCACTTCAAGCGCGTGGATCAGCGACGGGCCCCGCTTCCGTGCAGAATCGGCGCGCTCTAAGGCGTCGGGTCGGGCGGGCTTTGCGCCATGCTTCGGGGGCTGCGTTTCCCGATCCGTGGCTCCGGCGCCCACGCTACAGGTCCACGGATCCGCAATCCGTGTGACAGTCAACGCGCCTAGTAAGGACGCGCGCTTTCATCCAGGGTACCCTCTCACGTCCTTGCCTCTGCGGCCCGTCCTTTGCCGTTTTCACTGGTCGCCCGCCGCCCAAAAAATCCCGACTTCGGCCCCCAATTGTCTTTGCGTCCTTGCCACCCGTCCTTGCTACACGTTTTCATTCGATTGCGCGCCCGAGAGGGAGCGGAGGCGAGGCAGCAGCAGGGGAGAGACTGGAGAGGAGGCAGGAAAAGACGAGCATCCCCGAGCCGCGGCGCCTCATACGGGAGAGGGCCGCCGTAAGCAAACAAACGGCTGGGCAAAGTTTGGCCACGCTATTGGACCATGCGATCCCCCAGCCGTTGTGGACGCCCTTCGGGGAACACGTGGGAGTGGAGAGCACTATGTAGTGGCCTTTGGTCCATCCCGCCACCGTGCCTCAGTTGTGGTGCAGAGGCGTCATGGCGCCAACATCGTAGAGCGGATTTCGTTTGGACAACAATATAATGGGCCCAGGGTGTCCTGGAGAATTTCGCTTCGGATTTCGAAGTGAGTTTCGTGCGATTTTTTTGAAGCCAGGAATGAAGGCACAAACAAACATCCACGTGAAATTGACTGTTTTTCCGCTCGCCGTTTCGGGGTTGTGCATTGACAGAAACCCACGCTCTGCAAGGTCGGTGCAGTGAGGCCTCTCGGACGCCTCTTGGGGGTGTCCGCCACGCGCAGAGGGGGGAGGGGAAGGGGGAGGGCTTCTTAGAAGCACCCCTGCTTCTCAGAAGGCGCGGGCCTTATCTGTAGATGTAAGGCCGGCGCCTCCTAAGAAGCAGCCTCCTTCTAAGAAGCCCTCCCCACTCCCTCCACCCCCTTGGTGCGCGCCGCCAAGGGTGGTTTGGGGATGTCTTTGGGGTGTCTCGGGGGCCTCTCGGGGCCTGGGCCAGGTCTCTTGGGGGCCTCCCGGAGCTTCCGGGGAGGGGGGGGGCTTCTTTAGAGCCTGCGGGCGGTCTCGGAGGCTGCCTTGGGGCAGAAGGCTCGAAGTATCGGTTCGTGTTCCGCCTGCGGGGCCTCTCCCTGGACCCCTCCAGGTGCCCTCTTTGGCCGTCTTGGTGCGATCTCGGGGGCCTCGCGGGCCGTCGTGGAGCTCTCCAGGGACGGAAGAGCGAGAACGCTCAAATCCGTCAAATACCTACAAGTAAATGTGTGTGTGGCCTCTCGGTGCCCTCTTTGGGGGCCTCTTGGAGCTCTCTTGGGGCGCCTTGGGCCGTCTGGAGGCCATCTTGGGCGTCTTCGAGCGATCGTTCGGCGACTCGGCGCCCTATTGGACCGTCTCGGGGGCATCTTGGGGCTTTCTTGGCTTCTCTTGGCCCCGAAAAAATCACGCGACGAGAGCCGGAAGCGCCCAGGAGAGTGTGGGGCGCCCAAGAGCGCCCAGCATTGTGGGTTGTGGGTCCCCTTTGACGAATCTTCAGGACTGGGGATGGAGGACTCCAATGGACCTGGGGACCCTTCAACTCGCATGCTTCAGGGCACAGAGGCGGATCCAGCTCGGTTTGCCAGCTGCTTGCCGTCGGTGTGGGTATTCGCCTCCAGCGCGCCTCAACATTGACCTCCCAGCCCCACCCTCCGCCTCACACATGGGGTCCGAGTAGACTGGGTCGGAGGATCGCGTCGAATCGCCAATACATCGGCGATGGAAACGGCTAGATGTGGAGCCCAATTTTCTCCACGCCGACGCATCGCCAATGCATCGGCCATGCGGCCCGATGCCCCGACCCCATCTACGCACTCGGTTCCCATTGGGAGGCCTCTATCCTTCCCCCTCCCTCATCCTGCCTCCCCCCCTCTGTCGCGGCTGTGTCCTGACTTGCCCCTGAGCGCTGATTTTCCACATCGAGCTACGGCCTCCACCGCCACGCCCTAGAGGGCGCGCGCGGACGCCCACGCGGCCCACGCGCGAATTTGGCGTTGGTCCCTTCCCTCCTCGCCCCCACCTCCCGGAGGAGCCCATCGCGCCGAGAGGCCCGGGGAGGGACGAGGAAGGAGGCCCGGGGGGCGCACGGAGCGGCAGGCGCTCGCGCTGGACCCGAAGAACCACGTGGCGCTCCACTGGCGGGGCGTGGCCCTCTTCTACATCCGGGTGCTGCTAGGAGGTGCCTCTGGCCCATGGCTCGGGGAGCGGACAATGGCGCACTCCAGATTTCGTAATAAAAGGGAGGGGGTCTCGACCCTCCCAGACGAGAAGTTTTAGACCCTCCCAGACTATCCATGACAGGGCGGCCCTTTGCCCAGACCCCCCCGAACCCTCCAAGACAGCTCAAATCAGACCCCCCCCCAAATGTGACCCCCCCGACTTTATTATGGAATCCGTAGTAAGCGCACCAAAACTCGGAGGACCGCGCGGATTAGCTCAGATCGGAGCTGGGGCCCCCTGGCGGCACGTCCGGCGCCGCCCCTGGCGCGCTCCGCACGCCAGGGAGCGGGGTCCAGCGCGGACCCAGGAAACCCGCGCGGACCTCCATGTTCATGTCATTTGTTCGTTCCCCCATAGGCTTAGCATCGCTCGGACGTGTGCGTTTTTTCTTCGGCGAGGACCATCGAGGAGCATCCTTGACCACTTGGCGAAAAGAACACGCACGAAACCGAAAAAAAACACAGGGAATGGACGTCCGAGCGATGGCGAGGAGGTGCCTCTGGCCCATGGCTCGGGGAACGGACAACGGCGTAGGCACACCAAAACTCGGAGGACCGCGCGGATTAGCTCAGATCGGAGCTGGGGCCCCCTGGCGGCACTTGCGGCGCCGCCCCTGGCGCGCTCCGCGCGCCAGGGAGCGGGGTCCAGCGCCGATCCAGGAAACCCGCGCGGACCTCCGTGTTTATGTCATGTGTTCGTTCCCCCACAGGTGCCCACAGGATGTCCGAGGAGGCCCCCACGGCCTCCAGAGCACCTCTCACGAAGCCCAGGGGGCTTCAAAACCGAACGAAAAGTTGGGGGCGCCTTGGGCCAGGGGCAGCTTTAGCAACCCCCGACGCATGGGCGAGTACGCCAGCGCCAAGCTGGCGTTCGAGGAGTCCCTCCAGGAAGCGCTGCGTTTTGTGCAGGCCTCCCAGATGGGGTGCGAGCCGATGGGGTCGGAGGATCGCGCCGCATCGCCGGTACGTCGGCGATGCGGCTCGGCGTGAGCCCCGATGTTCTCTCCACGCCGATGGCGCCGATGCATCGGCGATGTGGCGCGATCCTCCGACCCCATCTACTCCGCCCCCATCTAGGAGGCATTTGGGTTGTTTTTTGGGGGGAAAGGAGGTGGGAGGGGGCGTCGTGAAAGACGAGGACCTCGGAAGCCCAGTTGGGACGATGCGGAGGTGGGGAGTCAAGCGTCTGCGCACCTGCTCGCCTTTTGGGGGCTCCTCCTCGGGGCCCCTCGTCGCCACGGCTGTGTTCGCCTCGCAACCCTGATCAGCACGTGGTCTGGGAGACGCAGCGGAGTTGCCATGTTGGAGGAGGGGGATTTGGAGGGAGTGAGAGGGAACGAGCGAGAGGGAGAGAGAAAGAGGGAGAAATAAGAAAGGGAGACGGGGATTTGGAGGGAGAGAGAAAGAGGGAGAAAGGAAGGGAGAAAGATATGTGTAACGTTAGGTTTTCGTGGCAGCCAGCGATGAGTCCAGCGATCGTTGGCAGCGGCGGCATTGCTGATAGAATCTGACAGAATTGGAGGGTGATTGCGAAGGCCTGACGGCCAGGGCCGCCGACCCTGAGGGGGGGCGACGGCGCCGACAACAGCGACGACGAAGAGCATTCACACTCTCAGGGACACTCATAGAGTTTACCTTTTTGAGGCTGTCTTGGGAGTGCCTTTGGGGGCCCTCCTGGGCCTCTCGGGTGCCCCCCCGGGGGCTCCTTGGGCGCTTCTCGTCGCCTCCCGGAGACCTCTTGGGGCGGGAGCCTCCAGAGAACTGCTGGCAGAGCGGGACGACGAGTGGCCCCAGGGTGCGGCGGGTCCCGCGATCGTGCTTGCCCGTACGCACGATTTTGCGCCGTCGGGAGGAGGTGGATCCGCCTTGAAGGTCCAGCTCATCCAAGGTCCCTTCTCGATTCGATCTGTATCATTCAGGAGGGGAAAAAACACACACAGACACAATGAATCGTAGATTCCCCAGAAAATATAGGAAACTATGGGAAATGGGGGGAGCACAGAAACCCAGAAAATATTTGGAAATATGGGGAATCCTTTTATCTGTGTGTATTTATTTGTATGTCCTTGGGCCCCTTGAATGATTCGGTTTCGATTCTGGGTGGCCCGATCCGACTCGATCCGGATACTCCGACGATCCGATGCGGCAGGATGTTCGCATGGCGCTGTTGTGCATCCTGGCGCAGCCGGTCCGATTCGATCGTCGTCGTCGTCGCCTCGTCCTCGTCGTCGTCGTGGTCGTCCTCGTCCTCCTCCTCCTCTTCCTCCTCCTCCTCTTCCTCCTCTTCCTCCTCTTCCTCCTCCTCTTCGTTCTCGTCCTGTCGTCCTCTTCGATCCGACGAACAGTTCGATTCGAATCGATTTGCCGATTCGATGCTGACTGATCCTGCCGCTCCAGCCTCCCCTCCCGGCGTCCTGTTGGTCGTCTCGCCCGCTCGCCCGCCGCGGGAGAGCGTCAAGATCTAGCGCCCGTGGGGACAGAGCAGAAAAGGGAGGAGGGGAGGAGGCGGAGGAGGAGGAGGAGGACGAGGAGGGATAGGAGGAGGGATAGGAGGAGGGGGAGAAGGAGGAGGAGGAGGAGGAGGAAGAGGAGGAGGAGGAGGAGCAGGGATAGGAGGAGGAGGAGGAGGAGGAGGAGAGGAGGGATACGAGGAGGAGGAGCATGAGGAGGAGGAGCAGGAAGAGGAGGAGCAGGAGGAGGAGGAGGAGGAGGAGAGGAGGGAGGAGGAGGAGGAGGGAGGAGGAGGAGGAGGGAGGAGGAGGAGGAGGAGGAGGAGGAGGGGGAGGAGGAGGAGGAGGAGGAGGAGGGGGAGGAGGAGGAGGAGGAGGAGCGAGGCACTCGAGGAGTGCCGCGGCGATGCTGCTTCTGCTCGGGGCCTGCGATCGGGCAAGGGCGGTGCTGCGCGTGCCCGTGGTCGGTGCCGCCCGTGCGCTGTGCTCGGCCCCCGCCGCTGGCCGGGGGCCGGGTCGCCACGGCACGGAGGCCGCCATGTTCTCATCAAGCAGTGGCGAAGCGTCCCGGCTCGCCAATAGCCCCACCGAACAATGTTCTATACGCAGGAGGCATCTATACACCACCGTCGTGCCAAGCTAGACCCATCCTGGCCATGGCATGGTGTATAACGCTCTCCTGGCCGAGGCCAGGAGGCTCTATACACCATCCGAAGGCCCAGGATGACCCTGCCCTGACACGGTGGTGGTGTATAGATACCTTCGTCGAATTCTAAGAACCTTTTGTGGTTCCCACGAAATGTTCTTAGAACATTTCTGGCTGGGACTGTCTTATTTTAACACATCGGGCTTACGTTCTAAGAACATTGCTTTTGTTCTTAGAACATTTTGGGGTTCTAAGAACATTTCGTGGTAGGACTATGGGAATGCCAGGACGGTCGGTCCCTGCTCAAATGTTCAGGAGGGGAAACAAGAACAGACACAATGAATCGTCGATCCCCGGGAAGAGATGGGAAACCACGGGAAGCGGGGGGGAAGGCGAAAACCCGGCAAAGAAACCTATGGGGAATCTTGGGAGTTGTATGTATTTGTTTGTGTGTCCCTGGGCCCCTTCACATGTAGGCGCTGAGCCAGCTGCGGCTTGTGTGTGGAGCTTGGCTGTGGAGGGCGGGCGTCGTACGAGGCAGGGTCCCGGCGGCCGCCCAGGATCACGAGGCGGGGAGTTGTACACCGCGCTCATGGGTACACCCCTGGGTGTGTGTGTGTGGGTGTGTGGGTGTTGGGGGGGTGGGGGGGTGGGGGTGTGTGGGGGTGTTGTGTGTGTTGGGTGTGTGGGTTGTGTGTGTTGTGTGTACTGAGTGTGTTTTGTGTGTTGTGTGTGTTGTGTGTGTGTGTTGTGTGTGTTGTGTGTGTTGTGTGCTGTGTGTGTGCTGTGTTGCGTTGCGTTGCGTTGCGTGGTGTGGTGTGGTGTGGTGTGGTGTGGTGTGGTGTGGTGTGGTGTGGTGTTGTGTTGTGTTGTGTTGTGTGTGCGTCCGCTTTTGCCCGTGCATGCGCGCAGCATGTGCCCAGCATGTGCGGGCCTTCTGGGTTGGATGTCGTCGTGTGCATGCGCGCCCGGGCATGTGCAGGGTCTCGTGCGTTGCGTTTGGTACATATGTTGTTTGAGCATGCCGGCGCACATGCCCGCACATGCTTGCACATGCAGAAGGTGTGCGATTGTTGCAGACATGCCAGCGGCACCTGCACGCAAATGCCAGTGCAATCCTCCTGCGGGTTATCGCTCGGGCCCGCACATGCACCCACATGCGTTGAACCGCGCGTCCGATCGCACAAGCCGACGCACATGCCCGCACATGCCGTCGGAGCTACTTGGGCTCCCTAAGATATCCTCAAGTGATTCCTGGTCTTCGCAAAGTTTCCTAAGGTTTGTCAGGGCTTCCCAAAGCTTCCTGCGGCCATGCAGAGATGCCCTGACCCATGGTGGTCTGGCCACTCTCGCTTGAGACATCCTCGCAACTCTGGATTCCGAGATGCCCTGAGCTCAGGTGGTCAGGACACTTTTGCATGAGATATCCTCGCCATTTTGAGTTCGGGCATGTCCAGGTCCGAGATGCGCCCGCCTGAGACAACCTCGATTCTCTGGGTTCCGGCATGCCATGAATTGAGGCGTTCAGGCCTGTTTCGCCTGAGATATCCTCGCGTGATACATCATCCGAACGTTGGCCACACCCCTTTGTTCGACTCGTGCTGTCGCCTGCAGCGTCCCTTCGTTCGGTCTAGTGTCCCCGCTCGATCGCCAGCCACATCCGTTTCCTTCGTCATTCATTTCTCTCTCATATTTCCTGTTTCCTGTTTGTTTGATTCTTTGTCCCCCATCCGAGTATTCGACTCTGTGGCATGCATTGGCATGTGAGTTTATTCGTTCGGATTGTGCCCAGTCTGTGCGTTCGGCGGTGCCTCGAACTGTGTGCCATGCGCGCACAAGTGCGGCAATGTTGTTCAGACGTTTGCAGCATTGCACGGGCATGTGCAAATCAACTGAACACTACAAACATTAGTTCGGTGTGCACTTCCACCTCCTGGAGGACCGATATCCCAGAGTCCTCCACAAGTGGTGGATCTGGATATGTTCGGGCCCTCCGGGGCCTTATATATATAGATATATACATATATAGAGATATGCGCATGTGTATATATATATATGTATATATATATATATACATCTACGAATGCACCGTCCCTTGAGGATCGTATTGTTGGAGACCTCGACAGGCGCTGGACATGGATATCTTCGGTCCCCCTGGGTCTCCAGTGTATCCATAGCCACCGCCCGCTGGGTTCCCAAAACGTCGATTCCACAAGCGGTGGATATGGATGCGCCCCCGCCCAGCAAGAATGCCCATCGCCATGTATATACCCCCGCTTCGCAAGAATGCCCATCGCAGGACACGTTCGCGTAAACGCGAGCACCAGTCTGCCGGAGGTCCACGCAGGCCTCCCTTGGACCCCGCGCCCCCTGGCGGCGCGCGCTGCAGGGGGCCGGCGCCGACCCGAAGATGTCCGAGCAGGAAAGTTTTCGTGTCCGTGCAGCCTCGGGTCGACGTGGGTCTGGCCGCGCCTGTCACAGAAGGGACGGACGTTCGCAGTGGCGGAGGAGGAGGTGGAGGAGGAGGAGGATCAGTGCTCACCCAAGGCCCTGGCATCGCTCGGACGTGCGCGTTTTTTCTTCGGCGAGGACCATCGAGGAGCATCCTTGACCACTTGGCGAAAAAAACACGCACGAAACCGAAAAAAGCACAGGGAATGGACGTCCGAGCGATGGCGAGAGGCTCCTCAACGATGTTGCAATAAGCCCTCCATCCAAGCTCGCTTTGCACAGGCTCCCTTAAGGATGTACCTTCACTGCGGGAAGAAGCCCCTTGGAAGACAATCGTCACAAAGTCTTCAACCGTGCCACAGCACCATTCCTGGAACTTCAACGCCGCGAATCAACGTTAGTGTTGCGACCTGTTGATCCCAAATCGCTCCAGAACATCATCGGTAGGATGTCAGCACCGCGACTCAACGCGACTGTGGTGACCTGGCAACTCTAAGTGTGCCAAAACACCATTTCTGCGGCGTCAGCCATAAGAATTTTTGAACGGCTGTAAATTGTTAAGCCGAATGTGCGCGGTGATGCGGCGAGAACATGTTGAAAAGGAACCGCCCTCCTTCCGTGAAACCCTTGCAGACTTGTAAAACGAATCTGCGCGGCGCCAAGGCGGGAACCGCATTTTGAAAACGACAGGCCCTTCGCCCGTAGCGATAAGGCGAGAGCCACAGTTTGAAAACCACCCGCCTTCCAGCTTTGCCTCGCAAATGTTTAAGACGATTGCGGGCGGCGCTAAGGCGAGAGCCACATTTTGAAATCGGCCCGCCCTCCATCCATGAAATTATCGCAAAGTTCAAGCTTCAGGACCATGAGTGGTGATCGGGGGCAACGATAGGGGGGGACGGGCATAGGGGGGGATGCATCGACCCCCAATCGCCCATTGATCGCCGACAGGGGCCCGATAGCCCCAACACGCCCAGGAAGGTGCGGATTCACGATCGGAGGCCTATCGCCAATATATTTGCGATGAATCGCAGACTCCGGGTCGATGCATCCCCCCCTGAGGTGCCAGTCTTCCCCCCATCGTTGCCCCTTAGGTGAGGAGATCTCAGGCCGCACGCCCAAACAGGGAGGGGGAGGAGGAGCAGGAGCAGGAGGAGGAGGATGAGGACGAGGAGTCATCCTGCTTCTCGGTGTCCTCTCTCGCCCCCTTCCGCCCCTTTCGCTCGCTCCCGTGGCCGCGTCCTGCTATATAACGGGGCGGCGTGCCCCCAGTTGGCCCCGGCCGCCAAAGCCCCCCGGGCGTTGTGGATCCGCAAGTGCGACGCCGAGCTCAGCGGCTCCACGCTGCCGCTCGGTGGACCCTGGGCGGGGGAAGAGGCGGACAAAAACGACAGGACTGACGACGAGGACGACGACGACGACGACGACGACGACGACAGCGAGATCGACAGCGGCCGACGACGACGACGACGAGATCGACGACGAGATCGACGACGACGGCGACGACGACGACGACGACGACGGCGGCGGCGACGACGACGGCGGCGACGACGACGGCGAGATCGACGGCGAGATCGACGGCGGCGGCGGCGGCAGCGGCAGCGGCCTGGGGGCAAGCGGCCGTTGCAGCCGTCGGCCAGGGGGGTCCGGGGGGACAGGGTTTCTCCCCGGGGGGGCGGCGGGGGAGGTGGCCACAGGGTGGGAAGGAGGAACGGGCTCGAGATCCCATCGGATGGACAAATGCTCCACCACCCCTACCATAGGTAGGACTGGGGAGAAGGGAGGACGGGGAGTTCCTCCTCCTCCTCCTCCTCCTCCTCTTCCTCCTCCTCCTCCTCCTCCTCCGTAGCCATTTTGGCTCAAGCCCTTTCCGGCCCAGGGCCATCCGGGGGCGCACTTGGAAGGGCCGCAGCCCTCGGGAGCCAGGGGGCGAGCTGCGTCGACACCGTGGGCGCCGTGCAGCGCCCCGTACGCGGCAGGAGCGGCCGGCCCCGCGGCCAGCCCCAGTGCAGGAGGCGGCGGCGGCGGTCTCGGCGGCGGTAGCGGCGGCGACGCAGGCTGTCGCAGCAGCGCTGGGGGCAGCGCCTGCCACGCGCCCCCCTCCGTCCAGGGCGCCGGCCCAGCCCCGCAGGCGCCGCCGGCCAGGCCTACGCGGGCGCGTCAGGTCTCCGTTGGCAGGGCAGGGTATTCCTACAGCTTCCCCGTCGTCCTCCCTGGCCTCTCCCTCAGCCCTCCCCCTCCTTTTCAGCCTCAGCCCACTCCATCTCCCCAACCTCCTGCCCCCCCCCCTTCCCTCTCAGCCACCCGTGGCCGCCGTCGACGGCGTCGTCGACGGCGTCGTCGGCGTCCTAGGTGGCGCCCGTCGGCGAGCTCGCCGCCGCCGCCGTCGCCGCCGCCGCCGGCGCCGCCGCGATCGCCGCCCCGCCCGCGGCACGCCCCCCCGAGGCGGCCTCGTCGCCGAGCTCTCCAAGGCCGCGCCGGCGGCGGCGGCCTCGGCCAGCGCGCCGCCGAAGGCCGCGGCGGCGGCGCCGCCTGCGCCGGCGGCGGCCTCGGCCGCTCCCTGCGGGTGCCGACAACGACGAGGGAGGAGGGAGGACGGCGACGACGCGAAGGACGAAGAAGGAGGGAGGACCGCGACGCCGACGACGACAACGACGAGGGAGGGAAGACGACGACGACGACGACGACGACGACGACGACGACGACAGCGACGAAATAGGAGGGACGACGACGAGTGGCCAGGAGCGGTATAGCGCAGCAGGCTGCGCCGTCGGGGGCGCGCGTGTCGGAGGGTGGCGGGCGAGGGTGCAGCACCAGCCGCAGGAGGTCTTGGATGATGCCCCCCCCCTCGAATCCGAAGCTCGCGGCTGGCAGTGAGCCTTCCCCGCGTCATCATCACCATCATCAGCAGCAGCATCATCAGCATCACCATCACCAACACCATCACCAACACCATCACCATCGCCATCATCAGCATCATCAGCAGCAGAGCATCAGCATCATCATCACCAACACCATCACAATCGCCATCAGCATCATCAGCATCATAAGCGTTAGCATCAGCATCATACTAATACAGATAACAATCATCATCACCATGATTATCAGCAGCGTTAGCATCAGCAGCAGCATCATCATCACCACCATCAGGGATCGTCATCCCCACCTGGGTCACCAGCGGTGGCCGCCGCGGTGGAAGAATTGGTTGCAATTATTGTTTGGGCCCGAATATTCCGAGTACTGGGAGGTAACTATTCAGGACCTATCGCGGTTACGGCGGCAGGTGGGAGTAGAAGCTTTCCGGCCGCCTTAGGATTGGCGTCCTCGATAACGGAAAAGTTTATGTTGTATTGTCCTTCACACCCTGTAGTGGGTGGGCCTTCGGCGGCTCTCTCGGCGGACCTCGGCGGCCTCGGCCTCGACATGATTGTGTTCTGGGCTCCTTGTCGGGGCTTCTTCCCGTCGTCGCCACGGCCTTGAGTTTCCCCGCAGGCTCCTGGTCAGAACGCACCCCCGCAGATCAGCGTTTGACCCCGATTCCCGCCGTCTCGAGACCATCGCGCTGGAGGACCTTGACCACTGCCAGCGTTTGTTCAGGCCTCCCAGATCGGGCTGGACCAGCTGAGGTCCGAGGATCGCGCCGCATCGCCGATTCATAGTTAGGGCGGCTCGGTGTTGAGCCCGACTTTCTCAACGCCGACGGCGCCGATGCATCGTCGATGCGGCGCGAACTTCCGGCCTCATCTGCCCGGGCCCGGTTTGCGAGGCCTCCGGTCCTGGGTCTGGTTCCAGGCCTCGGGGCCGTCGAGAAACGGTTCGGGATCGAGCGACGACGACGCCGGTGGCGACGTCGACGGCCGCGTCGACGTCGACGTCTTGGCCCAACGCCCATCATGCCGATGAGATAATCCAACGCAGTGAGTTCCCCCATCTTGCCCAGACACTTTCCATGTAAGGAGAAGTTGTATGCGGTGGACATGTGTTGATGTACGTTGCCAGTCCACCTGCAATCGTACCATGCGTGCCACATGCGCGCGCGTAAGACAACATCACTCAGAACCTCGCTGGCCTTCAATCGTGTCAAGAACGAGCTCCACAGGCATCTGTGGAACAAGAAGACGGGATGCTCGCGGACGCGTTGCCCGAACGCGGTACGCTCCACAAACGGGCGCGAGGTGTCAGCTTCCGGGTGCCCGCTGGGCGTGGGCCCGCCCTCGCGGTGCAGGTGAGCTGCTGCGCCGTGCGTGGCGCGGTGTCCTCGGGGAGCGTTCCGCACCCCTCCCCGCCGGGCAGCCCAGGCCTCGGAAGAGATTCGCGAACATGCCGCATTCATTTGTCAGCGCCCCCCCCCCCAGTCTCAGTGTTTCTAGGCCTCCCACATGGGGTCGGGGTAGATAGGGTCGGAGGATCGAACAAAAAATGGTGTCGGAGGATCGCTCGCATCGCCGATGCATCGACGATGCGGCTCGATGCGGCGCCCGATTTTCTCCACGCCGACGTCGCCGACGCGTCGCCGACGTCGCCGATGCATTGCCGATGCATCGCCGATACATCGGCGATGTATTGGCGACGCGGCGCGATCCTTCGACCCCATCTACTCGGACCCCATCTAGGAGGCCTCTAATGTTGGCGGTGGGTTGGACGAGCTGTTTTTCGACCGCAGTCTTCCCAGCGCGTGCCAACTTTGAGGTGTTGGGGGATCGGGTGGGGGGTCCACGCATTGTTTCCTTCTACCGTCTTCCAGCGGGCGCCTCTTTCGGGCCGCAGTCCGCGACTTGTCGTTGCAGGTGGGAAGAGTGCTGCATAGCTGCGCCCTGATATTGTGCTACTCCGACCGGCCAACAGAGCGGCGAGTCTCCCCGCTAACGAGCGACGCGTGGTGTTCCACTAGTTTCTGCGCGTCGTGTTCCTACCCGTACCACCCTCACTCAGACATGCGCGCGCAAACGTTCAGGCACAGAAACGTACACCTTCTCGAGCTACAGTCGTTTCAGATTGCAATGCAGAACATCACAAATGTCGCAAACAGCAAAAGCATTGTCATTCGCTGCGCGTCATTGGGGATGTAGCCCGCGTTGGGGCGTCTGCACATGAAACATCATGATGGCCCCATATGACAAATCAGCACCCAGGAAATTGCCCAGCGAGGTCCTGGCTCTGGGAGCCGGGTGACTGCCGTGAGTTGGGGGTGTTGGGGGTTTTATGATTGTTTCAAATTTTCAAGATTGAAGGCTTCTGGGTTCTGATGGCACTGCATTACATGGCAAACGCACGGTGGTGGGTAGAGAACGAAGGAGATGAATTGACGTGGTCAGTGGCTCCTGGGGGGCGTGCAGGGAGGATGTATGTCCATGGTGGTTTCATGTTGTCTTTGAAGCTTCCAGAGGGTCGCATCAGGGGGGTCTTCGCTCGGTCGGACCACAGCGAATCGAACCAATGTCCGTCGGCACCGCGAAGTTCAACACATGTTTTGCACAGCCGCGGTAGAGGAACGGGACGTGTGGAGCGAGGAGGGCGTATTGAGGGATTTAGTTGTAGTCGGCCAGCAGCCTGGAGGCGCCAACTGTACACCCACACCAATGTTGGCCAGGCCCATCTTCGGCCTAGCGTCGGTGCATGCGCCTTCCTGGCCAAGCCAGGAAATGTGAAACATGGTCAGCATCGGTGTAGGTACACTTGGCATCGCTCGGAAGTGTGCAGTCTTTCTCGGCGAGGACAATCGAGGAGCATCCTGAATCACCTTGCGCAAGATACACGCGCGAAACCGAACCATGCACGGGGAAAGGACGTCCGAGCGATGGCAAGTACACGTTTGGCGACTTCCTCGCGAGCAGAGAGATCTGTGCACCACGCTGCCGTCGAATCTGCTTTCCTTGCCGCCGTGCGGCCTCCGAGGTCTCCACCGTGGCGCAGGCGCGCCAGGCGCGCGGGGGGGGGGTTCCGCCTCGTGCGCACGGTGAGTTGCTCGTCTGCGGATCGCCACGGTGCTGAGGGTGCCCAGATGTCAGGCGCCGTGTGCACACAAGTCGAGGCGGCCAGCTTCCCACGGTCGCCACGAAGGACAGGGGTCCCGAGGGCAAGGGGCCCCGAGGTTCCTCCCTGCGCCCGGGCTCCTGGGGCCCTCCCCATGCAGTGTCGAACAGAGACAGAAGGAAGAATGGGTCTCAGGAGGCGGGCGGCCCCGAGGTCTCAGGAAGAATGGGTCTCAGGAAGAATGGGTCTCAGAAGGAAGAATGGGTCTCAGGAAGAATGGGTCTCAGGAAGAATGGGTCTCAGGAAGAATGGGTCTCAGGAGGCGGGCGGCCCCGAGGTCCAGGACCCGTTTTCCCTCGGGGCCCACCCATGTTGTCTTACGCCAAACAGGCCTGGGGCCACTGGGGTTCCTTTCTGGCCCCTGGGGACCCGCAGCAATGCCCGTGGAGCGAGGGCCACACGGAGCGCCACGGACAGAACGGAGCCGACGACGCCCGAGGTCTGGAGATGTTGACCCCCTCCGAGGCTGGCAATTGCACAGTCGTCGTCCTCGTCCTCGTCGTAGTCGTCGTCGTCGTCGTCGTCATCCTCGTCGTCCTCCTCGTCCTCCTCGTCATCGTCCTCGTCGTCGTCGTCGTCATCCTCGTCGTCCTCCTCGTCCTCTTCGTCATCGTCCTCGTCGTCGTCCTCGTCGTCCTCGTCGTCCTGTCGTCGGCAGAACTCCTGGCAGGGCGCCCGTGCTGGACCCTGGGCGCGGGTGCACGGATGCGGGCCCTCGCAGTCTGGGCTGGCAGCGTCGGCACCACCAGGCCAAGGCCCAGGATTCGGGAGGGGAAAGACACACACAGACACAATTGATCGTCGATTTCCCAGAAGATAGGGGAAGATATGGGTAGTGGGGGGGAATCTGTTCATTTGTGTGTCCCAGTTCCCCTTCGAGGATGGCCCCGACCAGGGCGCGCAGCTGCGCACAAGTTGCCTCTGTGAATGCGTGGCGTCCCAACCTCGCCGTGGTGAAAGCGGGTCCTGTCCTCATCCTCGTCGTCGTCGTCGTCGTCATCCTCGCCGTCGTTGTCCTCGTTCTCGTCGTCGTCCTCGTCGTCCTGATCTTTGTTCGTCGCCTTCAGGCTCTCGGGGTTCTCCACGGGCCCCAGGCCAGGGCCGGCATCCTGCGCACACACTTGCCTCTGGGGACGCGCGGGGTCTCGAAGCTCGAAGAAGAGAAAACGGCGTGGACATAAATTTTCGGCGCTCCGCGCGGATCCAGAAATCCGCGCGGAGCGCCACACGTTTGTGTGCATGACGTGTATGATTCTTATTATCACTATGATTCTTAGTACTCTTCTACCAAAGCCTCGCTGGCGCCCAGGTTGCCGTTCTCGCATCAAAATCACGTGCGTATCATGCCCCCCGTCACTTGGGGCATCTTGCCGATGCGTGTGCGAGTGCTCTGGGGCCCTGACATCACAATCGAAGCTTGCGCGTGGGGGGTAATCATGCGCGGCGCTCCTACGAGCTTCCAGGGGAGAGTCTCTTGCGTCGAAAGGGGGCCATCGTGGAGCTGTGCAGGGCCGGCATTGACGTTCAGGTGGTCTGCGGCCTTCTTGCGATAGAGGAACGGGCGATCCCATGCGCGACGTGCAATTACCCGAGACGCAACATAACCCCATCTCCACACGAGGCGAATATTTTTGTATACACGCTCCATACGAAAACAACACATCACCAGACATGCACGATCTGCGCTGCCCTCATCTCCGCCGTGTCCCCCAGGTGCCCACGAACGCGACGACCGCTGCACTCTTCGCAGCGCCCGACGGAGCCGCGAGGTGTCAGATGGATTTGCGCTGCCCTCGCCTCCGCAGTGCCTCCCAGGAGCCCACGAACGTGTCGACAGTTGCGGAGCTCGCAGCACCCGACGGAGCCGCAGCACCCGACGGAGCCGCGTTGTCCTCACCTCCGCGGTGTCTCCCAGGAGCCCACGACAGTGGCGACAGTTGCGCAGTTCACAGCACCCACGGAGCAGCGAGGTCCCGAATGGATCCGCGTGGTCCCCGCCTCCGCTGGACCCCCGAGGAGTCCACGAAGGTGGTGACAGTTACACAATTCGCAGCCACTGAGGGGAGCAGCGAGGTCCCCAACGGACCCGCGTGGACCACGACTCCTCCGCTAGACCTCCCAGAGGGCCCACGAAGGTGGCGACGGTTGCGCAGTTCGCGGCCGCCCAGGGAGCAGCGGGGTCCCCAATGGACCCGCGTGGCCCCCACCTCCGCCGAGCCTCCCAGGGAGCCGCGAGGTCTCCAATGGATCTGCGCTGCCCTCGTCTCCGCCGTGCCTCCCAGGAGCCCACGAACGTGGCGACAGACGCGCAGTTCGCGGCACCCGAGGGAGCAGTGAGGCCTCACATAGATCTGCGCTGCCATCACCTCCGCGGTGCCTCCCAGGAGCCGACGGAAGAAACCGACAGTTAGGCAGGTCGCAGCACCGAAGGAGCAGCGAGGTCCCCAATGGACCCGCGTGGCCCACAACACCGCTGGACTTCCCATGAACTTACGAAAATGGGGACAGGTGAACAGTTCGCAGCAACTCAGAGAGCAGCGAGGCCCCCAGTGGATCCGCGTGGTTCCCGACTCCGCTGGACCTCCCACATAAGTGGGGACAGGTGCGCAATTCGCAGCCACCCAGGAAGCAGCGAGGTCCCCAATAGATCCGCGTGGCCCACGACTCCGCTAGACCTCCCAGAAGGCCACGAAAGGGGCGACAGTTGCGCAGTTCACGACACCCATGGAGCAGCGAGGTCCCCAGTGGATCCGCGTGGTCTCCGACTCCGCTGGACCCCCAGGAGCCCACGAAAGTGGCGACAGTTGCGCAGTTTTCAGACACCCAGGGAGTGGCGAGGTCCCCAATGGATCCGCTTGGCCCCCAGCTCCGCCGAGCCTCCCAGGGAGCCACGTGGTCTCAAATGGATATGCGCTGCCCTCATCTCCGCCGTGCTTCCCAGTAGCCCACGAAAGTGCCAACCGCTGCGCAGTTCGCAGCCACCCAGGGCGCTACGAGCAAGGAAAGCAAGGAGGCAGGATGCAGGAGGAGGCAGGAGGGAGGAGGAGAAGGAGGAGTCGCGATCGCAGTGATCCGTCCAAAACAAGAACCCAACACAGAAGGGTTGGGAAACATGTTGTTTGAGTTGTTGGGTGTAGCGTGTTTGGGGCGGCGCGTTTGAAGCATGAAGTTCGCGTCTGCACGCGGAACGAAGGTTTCTTTGAGCCATGTGTTTTCGGATTCCCGCGTACCTTCGCATTCCTTTTCCCGCCTCTTTCCCTGCCCGCCCACCCAATCGAGCCGTCGAGGCAGACCACGCGCCTAGAGGCCCGACCTCGGTGACCACGCGTGCCGCTCCCGGGCCGCCCAGCGCTTCGGGGGCCCTCCTGACAGCGCAAAACGTGACCCTGAGTTTCGGCCACATTCGCAGGACAGCGCCCCCTCTTTGCAATCAAGATTTGCTGCTCGAGTTGTTCGGCCTCGTGGCCACCCGCCCTCACGGGATTCAATGAGGCGCTGTCTATCAGCCACACAATCACCTGACTTCGTTGACGCACGCCTCCTTTGGGCCACGCCCCCTACCACGACAACGGCGGCTTCGGCGGCGTCGTCGGCGACGGCCCCGTGCAGCGGCGACGTCGGCGACGACCCGCTCGCCTCGGCCGCCGCTGGCTCGTGTGCCTCGCTTGTTCCGCGCATGCCTTGGACATGCCTTGAGTTCGCCTGGTTCTGCGGTGGCGGCGGGGGGCAGTGGCCCCGCAGTTTGGCCGACGCCGACGACGAAGGCGGCCACCTCGAAGACGACAACAACGACGACGACATCGACTTCGACTTCGATTTCGACTTCGACTTCGACGGTGGTGGCGACGGCGACAGCAACGACCTCGACGACGAGGACGGCGACGGCGGCGACAGCGACGACCTTCATGACGACGAATGTGGCAGCGACGATCTCGACGACGAATACAGCGACGGGGACGACGGCGACGGCAACGACGACAGCGACGCACGCGACAACGGCAGACGAACGGTCACAGCGACGACCTCGCAAATGGTAGCAGCGACAGTGACGACGGCGACGAGGACGACGGCGACGACGACAACCACGACGACGACGACGACGACCACGACCACGACCACGACCACGACCACGACCACGACCACGGCCACGACGACGACGACGACGACGACGACGACGACGACGACGACGACGACGACGACGACGACGACGGCGACGACGACGACGACGACGGCGGCGGCGGCGACGACGGCGACGGCGGCGGCGGCGACGGCGACGGCGCGACGGCGGCGTGTGCGACGATGGCCTCGTGGAGGGGACCCCCCCCGGCGCGGCCGCCCCGGAGCGCGCGGCGCCCCCCGGGGCGCAGGCCGCCGGCGAGCCCGCGGCCGCGGGCCGCAGGCCCGTGAGGCGGGAGTGGTGGGGGCACGCGGGCGGCGCTCACGAGCACGCTTCCAGGGAGGGGGGGCACTTGGCATCGCTCGGACGTGTGCATTTTTCCTTCGGCGAGGACCATCGAGGAGCATCCTTGATCACTTTGCGAAAAGACCACGCACGAAACCGAAAAGAACACAGGAAATGGACGTCCGAGCGATGGCCAGGGCAGGGAGGGCTCGGCAGGGAGGCGCTGGCCTGCTGGGAGGGAAGGGGGAGGAGGAGGAGGAGGAGGAGGAGGAGGAGGAGGAGGAGGAGGAGGAGGAGCAAGCAGAAAGGGCCCACCTGTACGTGAGCTGACTCGCTACCCCATCGGCTCGGAGAAGAAGGCACAGCAGGAGCGTACAACTTCGACGGTCCGCGCGGATCTCTTGGATCTGCTGGGCCCCCGGCGCGCTCCGCGCGCCAGGGAGGGGGCCCCAGAGCAGATCCACGAGATCCGCGTGGACCGCCGAAAGTTTTGGTGTTCATGTCATAGTGTTCCTGTGCTGGCGTTCCGCTGGAGCGTTCTCATCGTGGTGAAGGTAAAGAAAGGACCGCAGGAGAGTCCTCCACAGGGGGAGCGGGGAGCACTGGGGCGCCTGGTCCGGCGGCCGCTTCGCCAGAGACTTCTCGGGTGTCGTTCCAGAGCCCTGCTCCCGCCTCCACTGCGTGCTGCGTGTGTGGTCTGGGCTGCCACTGCCCCGTAGGACATGCTTGTGCGGTGTGCGTGGCCGTGCTCTCGCCCCATGTCCCGCCTGCCATCGTTCCCGGCAGTCCCTCGGAGTACCCAGGAATGCACGTCCTCACCAGCCGACATCTTTCATGGGAGGAAAAGCCACCCCGACCCCGATAATTCGAGTTTACTAAAGGCCTGGGCGTGTAGTAAACAGCCCTGCCAAGTTCGATTCCTTCCTTGGGCGCGTTTACTAAAAAGCTTCCCTTGTCGGGCTTGCTTATTGCGAGGGTGGATTTTCTAGTCTCTAATCCTACTCATCGATCCGCCGCTGCTGTTCGGGTGTTTTGCTAGCGCTGTTCACTGGCTGATGCTTGTGGCAGTTGCCGGCCAAGAACTTGCTTTAAGGTCTGCTCGGTTTTGGGCCCAAATCGGGACGATCGAAATTGGTGCAGAAAGAATGGGTACGGTGCCCTCGGGCCCCCCCCGCCGGGCACACGGCGAGAAGGCCGCCCTGCGGATCGGGCCCAGGCAGGCCCAGGGCAGCGTCGCCCCTTCCCCCCCCCCCCTCCTGCCGCCTCCTCCCCTGGCATCGCTCGGACGTGTGCGTTTTTTCTTGGGCGAGGACCATCGAGGAGCATCCTTGACCACTTGGCGAAAAAACCACGCACGAAACCGAGAAAAACACAGGGAATGGACGTCCGAGCGATGGCGAGCTCCCGCCTCCCTCCCCAGCGGCCCTGCAGCGCGCCCCGGGCGAGCGCGGCTTCTCGGCGGGGCCCGCTCTGCCCGCCGAGGCGGGCGATGCGGCCGCGTCGCTTGCGGGGGGTCGGTGCGCCCCCCCCTCCGTCTGGAGGGCCGCAGGCCGGCTGGCGCAGGTCCGCGGTGGTGGCCTGCCTGCTGCGGCGGGTGGGCTCCCTGGCTCGGGCGATCGTTGCGCTCTCCTCCTCGCCTCCCAGCCTCCCCCCGCCCTCTCCCCCTCGCGCGCGCACGCCTCCGTGCTTGGCCAAAGGTCCGGAAGGCCCCGCCGTCCTCCCTTTGCCCCTCCCTGCCTCCTCCGTTTGCGGCCCAGGTACCAGAACAACTCGCACGTCTTCATCACCCTCTTTGCAAAGGGCGTGCCGCAGGCCGACTGCGAGGTCGACTTCCGGGAGCGGGAGCTGTCCATATCGTTCCCCGTGCCGAGCTCCGCTGGCGACACGTAGCCGCTGTGGCCGTCGCCCTCCCGTCGCTTGCGCCCAAACGTTCGAGGTCACAGGTGTCCGGGCGCTTCTCCCCGACAGCCTTTCGCTGGGATTTCTCGTGGTGACGATAAGAGGCCGCAGAGAAGAGTCCCACAGGGGGGATGGGGAACCCTAGACCGCCCGGTCCGGCAGCCGTTTAGCATGAGCATGAGATTCCTTCATATGCTTTTCAGGAGTCATCCTCTCGCCTACACGCCGCCTACGTGCCTACGTGTGTTGACCCAGGCGGCCACGATCCTTGGCCAAGACATGAGTGAAGGTGCGCATGGCCCTGTTGCGACCTCCTACCCGTCACCCCCGCCTCTTCGCCTTTTCTGCTATCCGGGCGGCTTGCTGGGGTATGATGTGTTGTTGGGCATCCAGGGCGCTTCTCGTCGCCACGGCTGGATTCCCCCTGGCATTCTGGCCAGAACGAACCCGTGGACATCTCTGCGACGAGACTCCGACGCCCAGACATGCAGAAAAAGGGATCCTGGAGGGTTTCCTTCGCTTTCGGGTTCCCGAGGAGTCCTCCGCGAGCCCATGTCGGAGCCATTCCCTGACAATGCACATGCATGCGCTGCAGCGGCGTTGTCATTCTCTGAAAGTGTGCCCTTTGTTTGGCGTTGTTACGCGCGTGCAGCACATCGCACGCGTTGAGACGCCCTAAAAACAGACCGCGCATATGTCAGGCTCTAGGCTTCGTTGGTGCCATGGGCCCTCCCAGGAACAGTCTGTTTGGCAAGCAGCAGTCTGTCGAGCAACCAGGGTCGAGGTGCGCAGGGAAAGCATCAGTGCGCAATGTGACTTTCGACGTGTTGCTTTGCAACCCTATCTAAGACTGACTACGTTATCTGTTGTCCCGGTCACAGATCGGGCCTGCGGATTCTGAGGATTTGGAGTTGTTCGCCGCAATCAATCCGGCAGTCTGTTCTTATGAAATCTCGAGCATGAAGATTGAGGTGAAGCTCGCAAAGAAGGATGTCGGACTACATTGGAAGGATTTGGAGAAGCAGGATTGTTTCGTGACCAAACATGTCGTGGGAGTTCCCAGTTCACATGGGCTTTGTGTTAGGTTCCCCAGATTCACTTCTGGAGGCCGCTGAGGGGGCTTGCACCCCCTGTAAACACACTGCGTGGAGCGTGTTGACGCCATGGTGTGATGCTTATTGTGGTCAATGTTTAAACGATGGTTCCGAGGAAGGTTTCGAATGCGCGACCAGGCTGGGCATGATGCACACTGATCACACGGCAGCGCACCTGCATGCCTCGTCTCGGGCGGACGGCAACGGGGGGGCAATCACTGACGCGGGGGGGCATCGAGGATGCCAGGAAACGGGGCCCTGAAGGAGCCCTGGTCGGCCCCCCAACTTCCCCCGCGGGCCCGAAAGGTGCACGAAAGGTGCACGTTTCTTCATTCGCACGTGGTGCCCCCGACGTCAACCAAACACCCCCTCGTCGCTCCCCCCCTCTTGCAGTGGCCGGCGCACCTCTCAACGGCAGCGTCGCCGTTGCTGAGTCCCAGCGGTGGCCGGGGCCCAGCCGGAGCGCCGCTGGGCGGCCAGGGTCTTCGGCGGCCGTTCGGTGCTGCCCCAGGCGGTGGCACGACGGGAGAGGTCGGCGGTGGCAGCGGCAGGTTGCCTGCGCGCGCGCGGCAGGCCCCGATGGGCCCGACGCAAACGGGTCCCGAGGGCACCCATACCGCTCTTTTCGCCTCGTCCTCCTCGTCCTCCTCGTCCTCCTCCTCCTCCTCCTCCTCGTCCTCCTGGTCCTCCTCCTCTTCCTCCCCTTCCTCATCTGCCTCCTTCTGAATCGTTTTCATATGTTTGGCCCTCCTGGGAGGCTCTCGTCGCCACCGCTGGACTCGCCTCGAAAACCTGGTCCGAACGCTCTTCGGGAGAGGTCCGGGGAGAGTGGCGGCATCGATATCCTGTTGTTTCCTCAGAGACGGGCCTTGGACCCCAGAGGCTTCCCCCAGGACCAGCTTTTCGTCTGGAGTCGTTTTGTTGGCGGTCCTGGGGCCTGGAGAGGGGGCCGAGAACCAGAGAGCGACGAGCGAACATCAGGCCCCAGTTGCGTCACGGCGACCCCGAGGAGGCCCCCGCGGAGATGCCGGCCTACCAGCCCGACCAGCCCGCTTATCCGACGTCCAACAAGGCGAAGCGCGACTGGAGTCAGATCGACCGCGAGATCGATGCAGAGCTGAAGGCCGAGAAGCCGGAGGGTGACGAGGCTCTGAACAAGTTGTTCAAGGAGATCTACGATCGGGCTGACCCAGAGACGCGCCGTGCCATGAACAAGTCCTACCAGACTTCAGGCCGGCCCCACGGCAAGACGAGCGGTTTGTTGTTACGGAGGGGAGGGATGATGAGAGAGCGAACCATAACCAGGGGTGAAAAATGCAGCCCCTGCTCCTCTTAGTCGCCCGCCTGGCATGCTCTAAAACAGTTTAGAACATGTGCACGCAGGAACCGCGGATAGGCTGGCACACCGAAATTCCACGGATTTGCAGGTACGCCGAAAATCGGCTTTCGGGACTCAAGAGACGGCGGTCAATGCAAACGAGGGTCAGTCAGAGCGCCAGATCTTGCAGGATCTTGCAGAGCCAGGGTCGCATTGACCCAGGCGTGGGCGCAGGATCCTGCAGGATTTTGCGAGACCCTGCAGGATCCTGCAGAAGATCCCCGACGCCGAGAGTGGCGAAACAGATCGGGCGCGGTGCTTCTCGGCTCGCAAGAGTGTGCCCAAGACGGGCCCGGCAAGGCTCGGGAAGGTGTTACGGGTAGGGTGGGCGCCGTCCTCGCAGGAGGCCAGAACCCTTCCTTCAGGACTTGACGACATGCTCCGCGAAGCTTCCGCGAAGCCTCTCCCGGAACACCGTTTCTAGGCCGGTGCGCGCTCGCTACCCGCCGCCGCTTGGCCGCAATCCTAGGGCCTGGGACTGCACCCGCAAGTCGGCCGCCGCGCGACCCGCATCAAGAGTTCTTCGTTCACACCGGGGAGGGGATTATTGCAAGGAGGGGGGGAGGGAGGGGCAGGAGGTAAAGGAGGAGGATGGAGAACGGCGAGGGGGGGAGGAGGCGCAGGATGAGGAGGAGGAGGAGGAGGAGGAGGAAGAATACTGCTTACGAGTTACAGCAGAAGTAGGATGAGGACGAGAAGGAGCGAGAGAGGGAGAGGACGATGAAAAAGCGAGAGAGAGAGAGAGGGACGGAGAAGGGAATGCTTCAGGGAAGGACGACGATGAGACTGAGCAGGAGGAGGAGGAGGAGACGGAGGAGGACGATGAACACCAGGCGTCGAAATGTGGTTGACGGCAGCGAGATAATTAGAAGATCGCAGCATGCCTGCCTTACCCAAGCCCTGTCGACCAGAGCGTTCTCCCCCCGGTAATCACTGGCGACCCTGATGAGGACGTTCGATTGTCAATGTAATGATATCGACGGATGGCCGGAGCGTCGATGCGTCGACACCTTGAAGAACCATTGATCGACCCTCCGGCGAAAACTTATCGCTCCCCACCCCTGGATGTGATATCCCCAGCCCCGGCCCTTAAATTTCAAAATGTGGTTCTCGCTTCAGCGAGGCGAACCTGTTTCAGAATATGGTTATTGTTTTGATGTCGTCCTCATTCGTTTGAAAAGTTCAAGGGGTTTGCAGAATGTGGTTGGCCGTTAGCAGAATGTGGTTCTCGGTTTTTTAACGTCGCGCGCATTCGTCTGAAAAGGTCGAAACAGCTTCACGGATGGAGGGTGGTTCCTTTGCAGAATGTGGTTCTCGCTTTCGCGTCGCGCGCATGCAGAATTTCACGGATGGAGGGCGGGTCTTGTTTTCAGAATGTGGTTGTCGTTGTTTAACGTCGTTCAAGTTCGTCTTAACATTATGCAGCAGTTTCACGGATCGAGGGCGGGTCTTTTTCAAGATGCGGTTCTCGCCACAGCGTCGCGCAGATTCCGCTCAAAAGTGTGAAAGGGTTTTACGGATTGAGGGCGGGTCCTTTTCAAAATGTGAATATTGTTGTAGCGAACATTCTTATTCAAGTTTACAAGACCTTCACGGATGGAGGGCGGGTGCTTTTCAAGATGCGGTGTTCGCCTGAGTGGCGCGTGCATGCGTTTCAAAAGTTTTGTTACAGTTGCATGGGTGGAGGGCCGGTGTTTTGTTAATTGTGTGCAGGTTTCGACGTGACACAATATGTTGTGACGCCATGAGCGTTCCGTAATGTTCGTGCGCGTGCGTGCACGCGCTGTCGCGGGCGCAATACACAATCCAATGACCATTTGCCACTTAGAGTTCGAAAAGCGACTGGGGAGACAAAATTGTTTCACTTGTGTTGTGGGGGTCTCCGCATGAAGTCATGTATTGTGAAACCGTGCGCTTGTTTGTGAACGCGTTCCCGCGCGCGCAGTACAACAACCAGTGAAGAATGGCCATCCCATTTTCGAAAACAGAACAGTGAAAATCATTTGGCCGCCTCGTATTTGACGGACCCAACGTGGAACAACGCATTGCGAAACACCACGCGTTCCTCACTGCCCTCGCGCGCGCGTGTGTGCTCTCTCTCGCGTGCGCAATGCAAAAACAAATCGTTAATGACCATAGTACCTTCGAAAATTGCATAGTGACAACCAATTGGTCCACATGTATTCTGAGGCCCCAAGCATGGAATAATGCATCGCGGTGCAAGTATGTCCTCCCAGTGTTCGCGCGCGCGTACGCGTGCGTAGGAGCAGTAGGGAACAGTGTTGCGTCACATTGCATTATTCCACGTTGGGGCCTCAGAATACGAGTCAAATAATGAATGTTCAACGTGCAGTGTCGGACTTATGTTGGCCGTTGTTACATATATATGTATATATATGTGTGTGTTTCTGTATTGCGCAAGCGGGTGCGCGCGCACGAGCAATGAGGGGCGCGCGTCGACACAGCATACATTATTCCATGTTGGGGCCTCAGAATACGAGTCAAATAATGAATGTTCAACGTGCAGTGTCGGACTTATGTTGGCCGTTGTTACACATATATATATATACATGTGTGTGTGTGTTTCTGTATTGCGCAAGCGGGTGCGTGCGCACGAGCAATGAGGGGCGCGTGTCGACACAGCATACATTATTTCACGGGGGGGAGCACTTGGTTTTTAACCATTTGGTTATTGCAAGTAAGATGATTACTATGTAGTGGGTCTTGTAATGCGCCGGGGAGAGCGCGCGTACGCGCTCGCACGGGCAACAATGAACGCGCATGGTGTCACAATACACATTGCCGAGGCCTACGAGTTACAAGTGGGACGATTGGTTTTCACAAAGCAGGTGTCGAAGCTAGGTCTGCCATTCCCCATTGGTTTGTCTATTGCACGCGCGAGACGCGCGTGCGCCCGATCTATATGTGAAGCGTCTCATTGTCGTGGCACAATGCATGATTTCACATCGAGGCCTTCCAAATACGAGTGAAAGAATCAGCTTGTCCCAGTTCGTTTTCGAAGTCACGATTGGCCATTCATGAGTGATGGTTGCATGGCGCGTGCACGCGCGAGCAGGAAGGAGAGCGCGCTGTGACACTGTACACAGTCTCATGCTCAGGCATTTCTTCCTCCTCCCTCCCCCCCACAGACGTTTGCCGTCATGGACGGTTGCTGCGAGCCTTGCATCGCCACTTGTGAGCGATGCCGACCAATTGCCTTTCGAGGGGTCATTGGAGGATGGAGGTTAGTACGGGTCGGGTTCGGTGGGGCTTACTGCACCGACCTTGCCTACTTGATGCCCGCGCCGCTGATTTGTGTCATAAGCCCTCTGCTAGCTGCAGCGCCGCTTGTACGTGACAGCCGGCTGGTCCATCGCGCGTGCAATCCAACAATCCGCCCCCCCCCCTCCCTAGGCGGCACGGTGCTCTCCACGAACTGGGGCGAGGTGGCGCGCGCCGACTACGAGGGCAAGGACAGGCCGACGCCCCCCGAGGGCCAGGCGCCGCGGGCGGTCGAACACCCACAGGGGGCACGCTGCATCTTCGGACGACCTCGCCTGCCCCCCAACGTGGCCCCTTCCTCTTGGGCCCGACGGGGGCTCCATGCGGGCTCGGCGCGGATTTGGCGCCGACCCGACGCAGATTCGACGCGGCTCCGACGAGTTCGACGTAGATTCGACACGGTTTCGGCGCGGATAGGGCCACGACGGGACAGACAAGGGCCCTCGAGGATGCAACGTAACCGGGGCCCACAGATCTACACCACCGCAGGTTTACGGCTGTTGGTGGTAAGTTGGCTTGCGATGCGGCGCCGCCAGCCCTCTCCCACCTCACGCTACTCCCTACATTGGGGACAGCGTGCACCGAAGAAGCCCCAGCAGAGGGACAGCTCGCACAGAATAGGCCCTCGCGGGGAGATCGCTTCACAGGCATCGCGCGCTGATCGGAGATCGATGACGCACGATACTTATCCAATTCCGTGGATGATGTTAAAAAGGTTGGGGAGCGGTTTCTTCAGTGTTCAAGGTCGGCGTGCTTATTTGTTTCCGTTGTTTGGGTAGCGTCGAACAGCGCTCAAGTGGAGCCCAATAACGCCCAATAGCGCCATGTGCGGGAGATGCAGTATGCCCTCTCTGCGCGCGATTTAGGCGCCTTGGGGACGACCAAAAGTTGCCTTGAATTGCTTTCTGCAGTCTGGGCACCGATTTGAAGCGCACGCGGGCGACGACGATGACGACGGTGACAACGGCGGTTGCGGCGGCGGCGACGGCGACGGCGAGGATCGATGTTTGTGGGGCGCTACTGCTCATTCATTCTCTTGTCCCAGCTCCTTCCGCCCCCCTTCCTTCCCGTGTGTTCTGCTTCGACGATGCGCCGGGGAATCGGCATTCGTTGGCTTGTTCCAAGCACGGAATGGTCGATTGCGCACGCCGTCCCTTCATCCACCAGGATGTCGCTGGACCTCGCCTCGCACGTCTTAGTCTTGTATCGTCCCTCTGACCTTCACGCAGTGACCAGCGGGCAAGCACTGAAGGTGTCGACCGCATATCGACGTCCGATTGTGCACCCAACGTGGTGACTTTGGAAACGATTCTCTCAATTCCAGAGGGATGGGAAGGAGAGGTATGATGTCAGATGTGACGCGATTGCATCCAGCTTGCATCTCCTTGCCACCTCTCCTCATCCCTCATCCCCCTCTTCTTGTCCCATTCCCTTCCTCCTCGCCTCCGGGTTCCCACCATCGCCGACCTCCATTTCCCATCCCCCCCCCTCCCATTACTCGCACGCCTCCTGTTGTCCCAGTCCCGTAACCCTACCCCTCGACGAGAAGGACGAGAAGGAGGAGGGGAAGGCGCTGGAAGAAACAGGCGGGATAGAACAGCGAAGGCGAACGACGACGACAATGAGGAAGGGGAGGATGCAAGATATGGAGAAGGAGGAGGAAGGGGGGGAGGAGAAGGACGGGGGAGGAGGAGGAGAGGGAGAGGAGGAGCAGCAGCAGCACCAGGAGGAAGAGGGGAAGAAGGAGGACGGGGACGAGGAAGGCGGGGGGCCTTCCCCGCCCCTCCTCCTCCTCCCCTTCCTCCTCCTCCTCCTCTTCCTCCTCCTCCTCTTCCTCCTCCTCCTCTTCCTCCTCCTCCTCCCCCCCTCCCTCCCCCGCGCGCCAGCCGCCCCGGAGGTCTGGGCGAAGTAGGCGCGCTGCACTGCCTCCTCTCGGGCGCGTGCCGCGAGCACCGCGAGGGCTCGGGACCCCCCGCCCCGCGGGAGCGAAAGTGGGGGACGGAGGAGGAGGAGGAGGACGGGAGGAGGAGGAGGAGGAGGAGGACGAGGAGGAGGAGGAGGAGGAGGAGGAGGAGGAGGACGGGAGGAGGAGGAGGAGGAGGTACCGCTACCTTTCGCCCGTCTTCGCCTTCGGTGGGCTTCTTGGGCGGCACTCGTCGCCACCGCCAGATTCGTTTCCCTCATCATATCCCCTTTTTGGGCCTTCGGGCAAGGCCTCGGGAGGGCCTCGTCGCCACCACGGAATTCGCCTCGAAATCCGGGTCAGAACGCACCCCGGGAGAGCGCAATCTGGAAGGGGGAATTGCGTACATAGGAGGGGGAGGTGGTGGGTGAGCATGAGAATGAGCAGCAGGACAAGGAGGAGGAGGAGGAAGGAGGAGGACGAGGAACAGCAGCAGCAGAAGGAGTTGGAGTGGAAGGAATGGGAGGAGCAGGAGGATCAGGGGAAGGCGGAGGAGGGGAAATGAGGGGGGCGAAAACCTTCAACAAAGACTCGGATACAGAAAAATTGGCCCGCGCCCTGGCGAGAGTCACATTCTGAGCGACGGGAGCAAAGCGCCGATCCGAAAACGAGGCCTACGCTGCAGCGGGAGCACCACGTTGAAACACCATATTGAAACACCGGCAACAATCGGATTGAACAACAAACATAACACCACACAGGTTCTTAAAATCCCGTGTGTAAGAAACGGTACGCGGAGAAGGCCGCTTATCCTCCGGACAGAGTCAGAGGAGAGAGGAGAGCTATATTAGCAATATTAACCATGTGCAAGTGTGGAGGCAGGTTAGGTGCGTTCGTGTCATACGCGTCGTCCTACCACTCCTTCCATCCTTTCCCATTGCATAGAGCTGCTCCCTGTTGTATTCGCACAGTCTGGTGCCGAAGAGGACGAAAAGGTCCCCAGAGGGGTACGCAGCGAATAGCACGGCATAGCATGTCGTAGTCAAACAACTGCATCTCCCAGCATTGCAGCGCAAGGCATGGCATCGCATCACACAGCGGCATCATAGCGTAGAATTGCACGCGATGGCACTGCGCAGCCCAGCGTTGCATAGCATAGTATCGCAGAGCAAGGCATGTAATCGAGGGGGGATAGAGGGGTTCGGCAGCAAATCATGGGAGCCTCGTGTACCCTCGCAATTCTGTCTTTAGCGTCGATTGGCGTCTGGGAGTCGACGAGATAGCGCCGATTTAGCGTCGGGTCGCGTCGTTTAGCGTCGATGTAGCCTCTATTAGCGTCGGCTAGCGTCGATTCGCAAGAGCCGACGGGATGGTATGGGAGGCTCCCGTGACTGCCACCGATTGCGCGGACCGAGGAGCGACGAAGCGAGCTCGACCAGACGAGCGTCGGCCCCCCGTCTTCGGGACCCCACGGGGGCTGGCTCTCTTGGAGATCGCTGGAGGCCACCCGGATTGTCTCTGGGGGCGTCCGGGGAAGGCGGCGGAGGACGAGGAGGAGGAGGAGGAGGAGGAGGAGGAGGAGGAGGAGCTCGAACACGAGCCCGAGCACGAGGTCGAGGACGAGTTCGAGCACGAGCGCGAGCGCGAGCGCGAACACACGGGGACGAGCACGAGGAGGAGGAGGCGGAGGTGGCCTCTGCTCCCTCCCCTGTACCGCGTCCACCACCACCACCACCACCACCCGCGGGGTTTCGCCTTGTCGCTTCCCGTCTTTCCCTGTGGCTTCCCTGACGCTTCACCCGGGACTTTGGACTGAACGCCATCCCTGGCGGCAGGCCGCCGCCGGGGAGGGTAGGGCCGACAGAAAGCCACCAGTCGTTCATTGCCTGGAAAACGCTGCACAACCTTATCCTGCTTCTGGGCAGGAAGCCCACATCGAGGGGCACAGGAGGCACAGGATTTGCCATAGAAACAGGTAGTTGCGCGATTCGCCAAGAAACGTGATCGTAAGTTCCCACCGTCACACGCACTGCCAATGCCAGCCCACAGGCTACAGCTATCAAGAACTTTAGTCACTTTGTGCGAACACCTTACAGCTTACAACCTCAACATCGGATGAGGTGCTTGTCCAAGCATTTTTATTGATCCTTGAGTTCTCAGGGAGTCCTTACCAAGCTTCGTCGGCCAGCCCGCAACTAGACCCTTGCGGCGCATTGCAACATGGGCGCCCAACTGTCCAGCATCCTTACCTTGCACCCATACGAGGTGCTGCAATTGCAGCACCGTTCGCAACAGGTGCTTCGGCTCATGCGTCGCCAGGCCCACGCCTCCCGCACCGTCGGCCGCACCTCCAGCTGTATGCCGCGGCCCCGGCGAGATTGCCATCCCGGCCTAGAGCGCGGCAGCGGCGTCCCAGACGGCGGCTACGGTCTTGGCAGTGTTCGGACGTGTTTTTTCTCGGCGAGGACTATCGATGAGAATTTTGGCTCATCGTGCGACAAAGCACACGCACGAAACAGAAAAATCCGCGGGGTATGGCCGTCCTAGCGATTGCGAGCGGTGGCAGTATTGTCCAATCTCTCTGTGGCAGCTCGACAGCAAGGCACCAGACGTTGTTGTTGATGATTTCGGCTTCTGGAGGCCTGGGGCTGTCAGAGAGTGGCTAAGGATGGAAGGCCAGGCCTTGTCAGGGGCGACGGCTGGGGGGGGAGATATGCATAGGGGAGATGCGTCGACCCACCCTACGTATCGTTGCTCCCCACCTTGGGAGGCAAAGAGGTACCGATGCCACTACTCCCTGGACCTCTACCAGCGTGCGTGTTTACCAGAACTTCGACGCGAATCCAGCCGTGACGACGAAGGCCTCCCAGGGGGCCTAAGAAGGTGAAACCGATGCCAGAGCAATGGTATCGGCATCTCTTCCTCTGAGGTCCTGGGGAAGGGGTCGAGATGTCTCGGGACCAGCCGTTCGAGAAAGTCGAGAAGTCCAGTGTGAGTTTGCGGCGTCTACAGGCTGCGGCGGTGGTTGCGGCGGCGGCGACAGCGGAGACGGCGACGACGGCGTTCCACGACGCGAGCCACACAGAGTCCAACACCAGCAGCAGGCCATGACCGCATACACGTGCCCAAACGAAGGGAACGGGAAGGAAAAGGAGCAGGAGTAGAGGATTCGTTCGCGGCAATGGCGACGGCTCCACAGGGTTCATGTTCTAGACGCTTCGCGTAACCCCACCAGCCCATCCAGAAACGATGCCCAGACGCGTTGCCTTGATCAGGGATGCGGGAGAGAATGCAGTGGAAGCAAAGGCTGGGTAAGACGTCGTACCCCAAGGGGGGGAGGATTGAGGAGGAATCGGAGGAGGAAGGAGAGAGGGAGGGGGAGGAGGGACGGGGAGGAAGGAGGAACAGGCGGATGAGGAAGAAGACGAGGAGGGCGAGCAGAAAGGCCGGAAGCTTGTTGGATGCCTCTCGGAGTCTCTTCGGATTTCTTTCGAGAGTGTCTTGGAGTCCTTTTGGGGCGTCTTAGGGCTGCCTTGGCAGTTCCGATGGCCTCTTGGGGCGTCTTGGGTGCCTCTGGGGGGCCTCTTGGAGCCTCTTGGGGGTCTCTTGGGGGCCTCTTGGGGGCATCTTGGGGGCATCGTTGGGGCATCTTGGGGCCTCCTGGGCACCTCTCGGGGCCGTCTTGGGGCACCCTTGGGAGCCTCGGGGGTCACCTTAGGAGCGATCGATCAAAGCAGGGGGGCTCCTCACTTAGGGTCTCCCCCACCTGGGACGCCAAACTGTCGCTAACACTATTGGTAAGAGCAATGAGTTTGGCCTTCTCGCCGAGGCCTCTCTGGGCGTCTTGGGTGCCTCTGGGGGGTCTCTTGGGGCGTCTTGTGGGTCTCTTGGGAGCCTCTTGGGTGCCTCTTAGGGGCCTCTTGGGGGCCTCTTGGGGGCCGCCTGGGCACCTCTTGGAGCCATCTTGGATGAGATCAATCAAAGAAGGGGAGCTCCCACATTAGGGTCCCCCCGCCAGGAGGCCCACATGTAGCCAAAACGTCAGCTATTGGCCTTCTCGCCGAGGCCTTCTAGGACGCTCCAACGACCCGCACAATGCCCCCTCCAGACCCAGGGGGTAGGGGGAGGGGTTAAGACATCCCCGCCGCCCGCAAGCTGTCTCGCTCACTCCCACCCGACCTTCCTACACATAAGTAGCACCCGGGCTTCAGCATGTGTTCAGCGGTCGTCTGTGGATGAACAGCTAATGGGAACCAAGACGTATCCCATATGCGCAACGCTGGGGCGAGGTGCGCCACGCGTCCCAGGCGCGCCACGCGCGTCAGGTGCGCTAGTCACCCCAATGGCCCAAGCGTGCCAAGCACGCCTGGTGCTCCAGATGCGACACGTGATCCACTGATCCACGTGCGCCATGTGTGCCGCATGCTCCAGCCGCGCCAGGTGCGCCACGTTCGGGGCACGCGCAGAGTGTGCCAGGGACGCCTCACACGTGGCAGTACACATCGGGAAGCGTGTCGGCCCCCACCACCCTTGTCGAAAACGATTGCGCAATCGCGGCGGGGTGACCATCATAGTGCCTGGTGGGCTTGGCAGGCAATATGCCAGCACCCCCGCCGTCCCAGTCAAAACCCAATGCACAGGGCATTTGCCTCGGAGTGCATGTTGCATTGTTTTTCGACAGGGATTCTGGCCCTGCGCGCAGCAGGCAACATACCAGCACCCCCGCCGCCCCTTTCAGACAGCAAAACATAGTGCTCGCGGCCCCCCGATCATGACCGAAAATTGTGCCCCAAAGTGGGCGTCGCATTATTTTGCGGCAGGGATGGTGGGAGAGGGGGCGCTTATTAGAAGCGGGTTGAAAGAAGACAATGTACAAACCATTCACGCCCTAAAGGGCTGGTTGGATGCCTCCACCGCATGGGCAAGTGCAGATGACAAGTTCGTCAGTCCAGTAGGCAACCAGGGGGAACGTGGAGGCAAGTGGAATCCCCATAGATCACAGCATTCGG